TGGGGCACCTTGAGTCGTGCAAGTGTTAACAAACATGAAGGCTGTCAACCATGCAATACATATTGAAACACAGGTTTTTCCTCCAATAGCGAAGATCCATGAAGCAACTGATTGTATCAGATTTATAGTTTGTGAGAGTACATCGCATCAGACATCCTGTCACCATGTGATGAGTTATAGTGTAATTCATACTTCGAAGTACTTATATATATACTGGTACCATGTATTTGAATGACTGATCATGATGATGTCTACTGCTCCTAAGATATATGGCCCGTAATCTTCACCCCAACGCCAGACGAGACTGCGAACAGCGAACACTCGCAGGTTCCTTGAACTTCCGTTGGCCGCAACAATCATCAGCCCCACAACATGATTCGCCCTGTAGCCCCCACTGACAGCAAAGCCAGCCTCGTCGCTCTTGCCGCTTCCACTGGCATCTTCCAGCCTGGCGAAGCCGAGATGCTCCTTGGGGAAACGTTAGACCACCTCTATGCCAACGCGCTGGGAGACCACCATTATGCGTTTGTTTCAGTGGACGACGAGACCATCAATGGCTGGGTCTACTTGAGCATCATGAAGGACACGGATCGAGTGTGGAACTTGTGGTGGATTGGCGTCGCTCCGGGCCATCAAGGCAAAGGCGTCGGTCGTCGACTCATGGAGTTTGTCCAAGCATTTGTGCGGCAGCAAGGCGCACGCATTCTGCTCGTGGAAACCAGCGCGACAGACATGTTGGCCAAGACGAGAGCGATTTACACCCGCTGGGGGTTCACAAACTGCGGCGAAATCCCCGACTTTTATGCCGACGGCGAGGGCAAAGTGACTTTTTGGAAACGCATTTTGTAAACTTGGAGTGGATTACTACTACGTAGTACTACTACAGTACTTAAATACTAGTAATTTCTTAGCACGAACTGTAAAAGTGATTACTACGTAGTATTAGTATTCTTATCCCGTGACCTCAACCTTTCATCGAGTACTAGTAAACGATACAGTAGTCTACTACTTTGGGGCACCTTGAGTCGTGCAAGTGTTAACAAACATGAAGGCTGTCAACCATGCAATACATATTGAAACACAGGTTTTTCCTCCAATAGCGAAGATCCATGAAGCAACTGATTGTATCAGATTTATAGTTTGTGAGAGTACATCGCATCAGACATCCTGTCACCATGTGATGAGTTATAGTGTAATTCATACTTCGAAGTACTTATATATATACCATGTATTTGAATGACTGATCATGATGATGTCTACTGCTCCTAAGATATATGGCCCGTAATCTTCACCCCAACGCCAGACGAGACTGCGAACAGCGAACACTCGCAGGTTCCTTGAACTTCCGTTGGCCGCAACAATCATCAGCCCCACAACATGATTCGCCCTGTAGCCCCCACTGACAGCAAAGCCAGCCTCGTCGCTCTTGCCGCTTCCACTGGCATCTTCCAGCCTGGCGAAGCCGAGATGCTCCTTGGGGAAACGTTAGACCACCTCTATGCCAACGCGCTGGGAGACCACCATTATGCGTTTGTTTCAGTGGACGACGAGACCATCAATGGCTGGGTCTACTTGAGCATCATGAAGGACACGGATCGAGTGTGGAACTTGTGGTGGATTGGCGTCGCTCCGGGCCATCAAGGCAAAGGCGTCGGTCGTCGACTCATGGAGTTTGTCCAAGCATTTGTGCGGCAGCAAGGCGCACGCATTCTGCTCGTGGAAACCAGCGCGACAGACATGTTGGCCAAGACGAGAGCGATTTACACCCGCTGGGGGTTCACAAACTGCGGCGAAATCCCCGACTTTTATGCCGACGGCGAGGGCAAAGTGACTTTTTGGAAACGCATTTTGTAAACTTGGAGTGGATTACTACTACGTAGTACTACTACAGTACTTAAATACTAGTAATTTCTTAGCACGAACTGTAAAAGTGATTACTACGTAGTATTAGTATTCTTATCCCGTGACCTCAACCTTTCATCGAGTACTAGTAAACGATACAGTATTCTACTACTTTGGGGCACCTTGAGTCGTGCAAGTGTTAACAAACATGAAGGCTGTCAACCATGCAATACATATTGAAACACAGTTTTTTTCTCCCAATGTGCACTATTGCTGCGACTTTCAATGTTTTCCAACAGTAACTAGGATATGCCATACAAACGCAATTAGTATGGATGCCCTCATCCATCGTTATGTAAGTAGTAGTACTATGCGGTGAGCGTCGCCGCCAACACCGCGAGCAATGCGACGACCAGCACCACGAGCACAAGTCGCTGACTTTCCAGCGTTTTGACGGCCGCGTGGGCGTCCAGTGCGTCGGCGGAGCTCTTGCGGAGTTGGGCAATCACGTCGGCCAGCTTGCCGTTCTCCTTGCGCAGTCGAGCGACGTCGTCCTTGTCGCCCTTGGTCGACACCGCCTTGGCCTCGGCTTGCTTCAACGCGACTTCTACCGTCGCCAGCTCGTTCTTGACCTGCGCCACTTGGGCGCGAAGGGTAGTCGCCGCCGCCTTGGCGACCTTGAGCGCTTCGTCCTTGGCGGCAACGTTGTTGGACGCCTTCTCCGTCGTTCGTTGCAGTTGCAACAGCGCCGATTGGGCCGCTTGGGCGTCCGCTACCGCCTGCTTGGCGTCGGCTTCCTTGGCGCGCAGGGCGGCACTGTGCTGGGTCGTCACGGCGGTCAGTTCGGCCTGCAGCTTGGCCACGTGTTTCTCCAACGACGCCACCGCGAGCATCTCGGTCGTCATCATGTACTGCGTGTCTTGCAACTTGGCTTCCGCCACCGCCACACGCTTCACCGCCGCTTCCGCCGCCGCCACCTTGTCCTATCTCATTTCCATCACGGATTGCATTCACGATGGATGATGGAGGACGACGACGAGGGTACCGTCACAGTCGACCGCAAGTGCGTGTTTTCCAGCGTCAATTGAGCAATCGTGGCTTCGTGCGCGTCGTTCGTGGCCGCGTGGTGGAGCAACGCCGCCTTGTCCGATTCCAATGTCGTCAACGCGAGCTTGAGCTCGTCCAGCTTTTCGTGCGTGTGGTCCGATGCTTTGCTCATGTCCTGCGAAATAAACAAAACCACGTCACACACAAAGCAATCTCGCAAAGGACACGCAGTTCTCAGCCGTAAACAACGTCAATCAGCCATCTGTCGTACATTGATAGCACGCTGGAGCGCATCGTTTTCCGTTTGAATACGATCCAACGCTTCCAAGTCGGCTTGGCTCTTGGTCACATGACGCAGCAGCGTCGCCTTTTCCGCCGCCAACGCATCCTGCGTCGCATGAAGGTTTGCCAATTTGTCCTCCAAAGCCTTGGTTTCCGCCGCAGTCGCCTGCATCCATATATATATCCCCACGTCACATATCATGTACCCAACCAACATGGCCTGCTTACATCAATCGACGACTGGAGTTCCGTGTTGTGGGCTTCCAATGCCGTCAGTTTAGCCTTGGTGGCTTCGTGCGATGCAGCTTGGGCTTCCAACTCGCGCTTCTCCGCTTCCCACTTGGCTTGTGCCTTGTTTAGGCGCTCCAAATCGCCTTTTTGCGCGTGCACATCGGACGCGAGTGTCTTCAGCAGCCCCTGGCTGGTCTCCCGCTCGGCTTCCAGCCGCACAATGGTATCCTCCAAGTCGGCTTTGGCGGCAGACGTCGCAGCTAGCGTCGCCTGTAGTTTTTCCGACTCGGTCACCGTTGCCTTGAGTTGGTCCACAGACGACTGGCGCTCCAGGGAATACCGCCGCGCGTCGCTGTGCATGCGGGACTGCAGCTTCTTCTCCGCGTCCAGCTCCATGTCGAATCGAACGCGTTCCCGTTCCAACTCCCGCTGGGCTTGCTACATTGAGAACGTGAGTTTCATAGGAAGTAGACGTCATAGAGGTACCTGTAGCAATGAGTCTTGTTCGCGGCTGTGATTTCGGACACTTTCCAACTCGGCTGTCAACGTCGACAATTGCGCATGAGTGTTGGCCAACTGGACCTTCAACGACGACACTTCTTGCTGCGATTCGGCTTCGGCGGCTTTGAGGATCAAGAAGCTTTGGGATTCTTTGGCCAAACTTTCCTGGGTGGAAGCCAAGGCGTCGGTCGCGGCAGCGAGGGCAGCGGCGTGGGTATCTTTGGCCTGCTTCAGGGAGCGTTCCAGCTCAAGCTTGTCCTGCACCAACTTCTTCATGTCGTTTTGGAGACGTTGTTGCATGTTGACGGACGTGGTCATTTCAATGTCGTATTTCTGCACTTGGCGATTCAACTCGTCTTGGAGACTCGACGCGCGGCTTAATTCCAAGCTCAATTTCGCCGAAGTGGTCGCCAATTCCGATTCCAACACAGCAAACTTCTTCGCGCTGTCGTTCGAAGCAATAGGTGCTACTGTCTGAGCTTTGACCTTGGGGGATGGTTGAGGCTCCGGGACAACGACGGTGGGGGTTGTTGTTGACTTCGTAGCGACAGGGGTAGGATCGACAGGCTTGGTTTGCTCGTCAATCGACGACTTGGCGTCATCTGCTTCGTCGGACTTGACCAGGGTAGTCGACACTGGTTGGACAGCTTGTTGGCCACCCCCTTCAACCTTCTCCTTCAACAATCGTCGTAATGTCACCAACTGCTTCACTTCCACGGCGATTTCCGCCATGTTCTGCTTGTTGTTGCGGAGGTCTCGGATCTTCGTGCCCGTGACATCGATAGCGGCATTGAGCTCGTCAATCGACGCGTTCTCGAAATTTTGGGCGCGGGCCATGATGTCAATCCAGGAATGCTCAAATGTGGTCGAGTCGCACCACTCGTATCCGGAAACTCTACCTTCTGGATAGGGATCTCTACCTTCTGGGATAGGGTCCATACAAATGGCAAGTGTTATTCTACATTCATTAAAGTATCCTCGGAGTACCTTGAATAGAGTTGGCCTTATGTTTGCTTCAATCCCTCACTAAAGTACATTTTTGAGTACTTGGTGAAAAACATCCGGATAGCCTTCCTCCTACTGGTAGAGGTAAAAATTCACGGTTCACGTTACTGTAGTACACGGGTACAGTGTACGTCTACTCAACCCTAGCAGTGACAGCACGCACTACCAAGAGAACTGGCAAATCGTCCTTTAACATCCCTGCACATTCTCAACTATAATTGTATACGTATAGCCCTGTCTGAAGAGCATATCGAATCGAATCGCGAATGGTTGATTGGCGCATCTGAAATTAGTTGAATTTGATTGGCGAATATTTTGACCAATCAAGCGAAACCGTTCTGCACTGAGAACCGTTGATTGGCTCTTCAGATCACATCATGACAACATTGACCGACGGCGGTGCAGGACACCTGCGGCGAGTCTTCCAGGAATGGTCCCACTTAGCACGATACAAGCAGCAGCAGGAGATGAAGCGTCGTCACGCAGTTCGATTCCACTACTTCCACCTACTGCAGAAGGGATTTCGGGCCTTTACGCAGCTCGTCCATGAACGGAATTCTCGACTGCAACTTCTTCATCGAATGATGTCAAGGAAGATCCAAGCTCGGAGTTTCTACCGATGGAGTGAGCATGTGCGTCAGCGTCAACGACAAGCTATTCAGTTTCGTCTGTACTGGACCAAGCATGTATTTCGCTCGTGGCAGGAGTCCCATCGTCGCGCGGTGCGAGACGCCCGTCTTGTCCGCACTGCCGATCACATCCATCACATTTCGGTACACTCCTACACCCCCACATCATCTCCATATCGCTCAAAATGCCGTTTTCCTTGTACAGCTATTGCGTCGGTCGTTTGCGGGATGGCGGGAGTTTTGTTCGATTCGCCATCGACGTCGTGTGCAAGTCGAATCCTCTTTCGAACTCCATCAAGCGCAATCCAAGCACGTTCAAATCTCGGAAACGTTCCAAAGATGGAGAGAATACGCACGAAGCGGCGCTGCCCACCGCGTGATCCTGTACATCGTCCCCTTCCAAAAGAGAATATTCGTCATGGATCACTGTAGCCATCGTGTCCGTGTCCACGCGCAAGTGTCCTTGACCAAGCGAGTGCTGGATGCGTGGGTGCAGTTCATTGGGATGCGACGATGGGACGAAATCCTCTACTTTCGTGCGGCAAAGCACCGCGCGCTCGTCGTGCAGAAGCAGAACCTGTCCACCTGGCGTCAAAAGTACAACTCGCCATCATACCTTCCTTTCATCAAGACTCATGGACACATGGAACCTCTCCGTAGCGCCCTGCTATCGAAAGCAACGCGGCTTCAAACCATTGCCGCATTAACGCACTGGAAGCTGACCATGCAGCGACGGGCGTTCCACGGGTGGATCCTACGGATGCGAACGCGGCAAGCCAAACGACATCATCTCCACGAGGTAGTCTGCATCGAGTAATGCAAACATGTACGAGAAACAGTCGTATCTAGGCATTGGAGTGGAGGCACGCGAATTTCCTGCGACAGGGGCTAGTCCATTGGGCTCAAGCGGCGTTCGTCCTCCATGACCAGCGCCTTCTGCGTGTACAGACGCAGGCGGTGGCGGCTGCGGCGCGCCTCTGGAGACGGATCGCACGGATTGTGGCACACTGGAGATATGTGGCCTCGCGGGGACGCATCACAGGACGCGTTGAAAGCAGGAAGGAATGGTGGCCGACAACGGCGAGTCGGCATGCCGCCATCGAGCAAGAAATTCAACCGCTGGGGATGGCGAGCGCTGCAGTAACGCACCATCGAATGCCTCCACGAAAGCCCCTGGAGTTGCTGTATGATGCGGATGTGGACGCGTCGTCGACGGCCGCGTTCCCGGCGAGGGGACTCACGGAGAGGACGAAGGAATCAAAAAGCATCATGCATGTCGGTCTGGGCAAGTACGGGATGTCGGTGCCGACATCCCCAAGACGATCGCATGTACAGCATGTAGTCCCATCGGACGACGAAATGGAAAACGTTGTGCGTGAGATGGAGAGTCGAATGCGGTATTGGCAAGACAAGCGTCGTGAGTGGAAAGCGCACAAAACACAATTGGATGCGTTGCGAAATCATATCACTGGTGGCGGTGCTACGCATTCCTCGTTGGATCTTTTGCGGCGGACGCTCGACGTCATGGAGGCCACGCACCGCGACCACGTGGCAGCACATGTGTCGTCCAAGGCAGAAATCGCGGCGTTTGCACATCACATTGACGAATTGCGTCGTCGCCGTAGGGATGTCTTTCCAAACTAGAATACCAGGAGACACGTCCATGTCATAAGACCTTCCTTCATGCACACATCTGTGTCGGTCCGTCAACGGCGACGTTTTCTAGAAAACCAAGAAAATAAGGATTCCGTCGAATAATTATCGAATTTTGGTCAACAAATCGATGTTGATTGGCTTATTTCTGAACTATTTTATCCAATGAATGGCAGCAACCTAGCAGCGTCTACAACACCCAAACACAACCAAATTCTTCCCTCCGGACAACCACCACCGAACCCACTTCACCAGCAGGGCTACGATGGACTACGGCCGTGAACTCTTGCGTCGACAATTTACAGGTATGAGATGATGCTACATGTCATGGAATCAACATCCTTACCGTGACATGCTAGAACTTAGCCGCAACCCGCCGGAGGGTGTGAGTGTTGGCTTGGGGGACGACGAAAACCTGTTCAACTGGGAAATCATGCTTGTGGGGCCGCCCGACACGCTGTACGAAGGCGCGTTCTTCAAAGCCCGACTGGAATTCCCCAAAGATTTCCCCAACATGCCGCCGAAAATGACCTTTGTCTCGGAAATGTGGCATCCCAACGTCTACTCTAACGGCGTGGTGTGCATATCGATTTTGCATCCGCCAGGCGAGGACCGCATGAACGCCCAAGAGTCAGCGGACGAGCGATGGCGCCCGATTTTGGGCGTGGAAGCCATTCTTGTGTCGGTCATTTCCATGCTTTCGGACCCGAACGACGAGTCCCCAGCAAACCTCGATGCCGCTGTCGAGTGGAGAACCAACAAGGACGGGTTCAAGAAGCATTGCCGCCGTATCGTGCGCAAGTCGCAAGAAGACTTTTAAGTACTTGTGGGAAACGCAAACCGTACCTTGAACGAAATTGCATATCATCACATTAGTTTCTTCTTCGTCGTCCATCATGTTTCCCCGCGTCATTTCCTTCCTAAGAAGTTGCATGATAACGAAATGACCTTCCATGTTGTTACGGCTTCAACAATGGCGCGCGGCGATCTTGGCGCCATATATTCGACTTGTGACGGATTTCGATATCCGGATAATGTATCCGAAACCTTGCAAGCTCGTCCCAAAAATTCTCCATCAACCGACAAGCGCACCTGGAACATGTCTTCGCCCTACGTGATTCCTCACCGCGCCATCTTCTCGGAAGCGGACTTGCGCCAATTCCTCCGCTCCAATGTACATCGATGCATATGTCCCTGATTCGTCATGCAGTGCCTTGATTGTAGGCGTATGAAATGATTCTCCGCTTCGTCAAGCATTTGAACGAAAGCGTGAAAGGCAAGAAGCTGACCGACGATATCCCCGTGTCCAAGGTATGCCATGCTCTTTTCACATAATTAGTATGCATGACTCTTGTGTGCTGGTAGAATGTCGAGTCCGTCTTGGCTGTGCTCGCTACTCTGAACACATGGATCGACGAGATCCCACCGATTGCGCAGCCGATGCGGTTCGGGAACAAGGCCTTTCGCACGTGGTACGACCGATTGGTGGATGTATGTGCGCAACTCTCTTTCCCTCGCTCGTCCCATCCCTTTTCCATGCATTCACGGCAACTGCGATCGTAGGAATCCCCGCGCATCCACGAAGCCATGTTGGACCCACCCGAGCTGAAAGAGGCGGCGATCGAGTTGTGTCCGTACTTGATCGACAGTTTCGGCAACCGCGTGCGGATCGATTATGGCACGGGCCATGAAACGAGCTTTATCATCTGGTTATGTACGTCCTCGTTTTCTCCATCCATGATCGCGACTCACTCGTGTCCCTGCAGGCGGGCTACACAAAATCGGGTTCCTCCGCCAAGCCGACTTCCCCGCCATCGTGCTCAAGATCTTCCACGCGTATCTCGTCCTCATGCGCCGCCTCCAGAAGGTGTACATGCTGGAACCGGCGGGGTCGCACGGGGTATGGGGACTGGATGACTACCAGTGCCTGCCGTTCTACTTTGGGTCGTCCCAGCTCGTGGGCCAAACCAACCTCGCGCCCAGCTGCGTGCATGACGATGGGACGCTGCAGCTCCACCACGGAGAGTACTTGTACCTGGACGCGGTCAAGTTTGTGCGCGACGTCAAGTCGTCCGGGTCGTTCGCCGAGACGTCGCCGATGCTCAACGACATCAGCGGCGTGCACTCGTGGGACAAGATCAACGGCGGCATGCTCAAGCTTTACGAAGGCGAAGTGTTGCACAAGTTTCCTGTGATCCAGCACCTGCTCTTTGGGTCGCTCTTGCCGTGCACGTGGACACCGTCGCAAAGCGGCGAAACGTCCTACACACCTGTGAGCACGCACCCGGGCACCCGCGTCCATGCGCCCAACTGGGACCTGCCCGTGAACGACTCGGCGCCGTGGACCCCCGTCGAGAGTCTGGCCAAGACGGTCGCGGACACGCAAACCGAAGCATTCTTGGCGCCACCACCACGCAAGGAATAAGGGAAACGGACATGACGAACGAGTGGATATGAACGTACAGTCTTTCGTATCCCTATAATGACATGATAATGTGCATTTTCCTGTTGTTTATAATACTAGTAGTTGTTTCAAGGAACCTGTTGTACTCGGTCGATTCACGAATGTTTGGCGAACTTGATTGGTTATAAATCGTCGAAACAAGTGATATCATTGGGTAGCGATTATTGTCCAATCAAAGAGGAGTACCCTGGCATTTTGAATTTGCACATGCAAGCCTTCGCAGCGGTAGATTCAACTGACCAACTCGTTCAAGTGAGAATTGGCAGGCAGCAATACATCGTCAAGATCCAGGCCAAGAAGAGCTCTGGGCATCATTCTACATGCCTCGATTGTCGCTCGTCTGACGACCATGCTTGTGAATGCAAGGCGGTCTTGTGTGACAATGTGACCATCGGCTCAGTGGGCGTGGCCTGGTCGCGTGGGGACCTTGTCACTCTGATCCAATCGTACATGCACACATGCGTCGCTGCCTTTGAGCCATGGAAGAAACTCATGGAATCGCTCGTCGTGACCCATCCGAATGCCACCGTCGCTGTCGATCACTCCATGGCGCACTACCTGCTCGCGATTTCAGTTCCTTTCGACAGTACTCATGTGATCCACGTACGTGTGCATGCCAACTCACGGATAGAAGACGCATGCATCGAATATGCACTCACCGAAACCACCAGTCTCGCTGTGCATCTCCACACACCAACAACGATCCAGGTTGCACTGGCCGTCCTTGACCGGCAGAGAGCGACCCGCGCTGCGTTTCTGGATGCGTTGGCCCACCACTTGTTGCGTACGCAGCTTCATTCTGCATTGAAACGTTGTCTCATATCCATATCTAGTGCTTTCCTTCGATGCCACTCATTTGAACACGTTGGACTGCGCCGTGGTGCATGATCAGGCCGACGCCGTCTGTTGGATCGACATCGTCCGCGTCACGTTCGCACCCACGTGGGGGCTTGTCTCCACAGACGCACCCCTGTCGTCCATTCAAGATGCCCACACTCTGTCAGGAAGGCCACTTGTGTCCGTTGTCCTCGTCGACGCAGAGGGCCACCACCCCCTCTCTATCACCCCTTCAGACATGGACGCATTTCATGCCAATTTCATCGCTCCAGATGCTGCTTTCTTTCACTCGTGGCTTCGACACGTCCTGTACGCACGAGACAATCGACCAGACGACGCCGTCCCTCCGACACGCCTACCTTCGACGTGAAGTGGTCATTGCATTCCATGGCAGCAACAGTGTTTGAAAGTGTACAGTATTGTAGTTCTAATAAGTGCCGTACGTTGTTTGAGTGGACGAGTCCCTAGTACATGCGGAGGGAGTACTGTACGCTGTACAAATCCTGCAAACTAACTTCAATGTGCATTGCAAAACGACAAAACCTATAGCGATATGGTCAATAGTAAAGTCGCCCTTGAACCCACGTTGAAAAGGCGGCATCACTACCCCCCAACTCATGGAATGTTTCATTATTTGCTCGACACCAAGTTATGAGCTGCGACACTGTTCTTACAGTGTATCAGTAGTCAAAGCACACTGTGTGTTAGTGCAACTTCCACTTGAGCGTGGTGACGTCGCCGAGTCGTCGGGGGTTGCGGATGGCTTTGTACGCAAACACCACCGTCGCGACCAAGCACAAGCTGCCCACGACGAGAAACACCACCCCCAGCGCCACGTTTTCGCTGCCAAACCAGGCTATTTCCCCCACCACAATCGCTTTCGTGCCTGCCAACAACGCCTTCATGAAGGGCTAAATCATTATGATGAGAAGTACGTACCATCGGTGAAAAAGTTGGATTGGACAGCAAACGTGAGCGTGGTGCCGGCGGGAAGGTCACGCACGCCAATGCGGCCATACGGTTTGCGCACGACATTGCCCGCTGCGAGGTTGACCCACACACGGAAGAATTCGTTTTCGACCCCCGTGCCAGGCGCCAAAGTCGTCCACGCCGTACTGTTGGTGTAGTCGGACGTAATCTAAGTGCATTATCAAGTACACACACGGACGGACAACATTTCCATATGTCGTAGTACCTGAGGAGGCAAGGACGTTCCCGGAGGCGGAATGATGCGGCTGTAGTTGGGGTTGTGCCAAATGGGGAGGAACGAATCCAGGTCAAGTCCCCCCGAAGGGTTTGCAAAGTTGTACGATTGGAACGTGCGTGCAATGCCTACAATCCCCCCACCCACAACGGTCATGAGCTACAACTCTTCCTGCGCACTTGATGATGAAGCCGGCGACAGGATTCATGTACCCGTGTGGAGCAAGTCGGTGGGGTAGAGCTGTTGGCCTGACGGAAGCGTTCCATTGTGTAGCCTGCACAGCTGCCACGTTACAACTTGGGCAGATGCAAACGTCAGAACGTACCAAAAGATGTCGTTGAACATTGTGTTGGCCACCAACCCGCACGGGTAATGCTGCCGCGAAACGTTGGCTCCATAACACACGGTTCCGTTGCACAGCAACGAATCGGGGGACGTCAGCACTGGGTCGCACGCTGTGGTCGTGTCTCCAGCTTGCCATCCGCCCATGTACTGCTGTGGGAGCTGCGAAGTCATGTATCGTCGATGGTTCTGGTAGAATGGACTCAGCTCATAAAACACGAGGGTATCGCCTGCGATGTCCCGCTGCAGTGTGATCGTTACAAAGCACGTCTTGGAGCCTGAGAACGAGTTGGCATCGTGTGGCGACGCCAGGTGGCACTTGCTCACGTGCACCACTGTGCCGCCTGACTGCTCGGACTCGACCACGGCCGTAGCGGACGACGGACCGTCATATACCACACGGTACACACTCATGTTCCTTGAGCGTTGTAGCACAAGACCTCCAAGTGTCAAGCACACGATGGTGCCAAGCAACAACACTGCCACCGACCACCGCAGCGTCAAAATGGGCGTCCACACCGGCAGAGTTTGTTGGGTAAACTTGGACGCATTGGGACGATTCTTCGCCTTTGGTAAGACACCACCTCCTTCTGTCGTCGTTACTGCTGCGACTGCTGGACCGTTATTGTCTGTCGCGGATGATGCCGTCACGGACACCGGAAGCTGCACCGTCGCCATCCTAACGTGTGGGATATCTTTCTGCGCAACAATGATTGTCGTTTCGTAACCGCTTTTTGCTTCCTTATATGAGACTTCAACTTATTTCGTTGTTGACTGTGAATCGCGAATATTACACAAACATGAAATGTCTATTAAATAATACTAGTGCAAATGCAATTGCTATTTCTACTTTGATATTGTCTTGAAATCACCACGCCGTGTACGTCACTCTTTTGTACGTGACGCCAACGCAAATGTACAAGTCTGTCGTGTCGTACTTGAAGTCGCCTTGTGTGCAACTCGTGGTCGATGTGATGGCGGACGACGTGAATGCTCCCGCCATCTTGACCAACCCATTCAAACTTGTGGTGGATGTGACGCTAAGTGTGCTGCCAACGGTGGCAGACGTTCCAATCGCCACGGAACTGGCCGCCGTGATCGGGCCGTTCAATGTAATGGGCGCCGTCTGCGCAGCCGAGCCCAGCGTGATGTCATTGGTGACCGTGAGCGAAAACGAAGGCGTGGTCACCGCGAGCGAAGTCGCGCCAGAGTGTGTGATCGTCGCCGCGTCCATGGTCAATTCCATTGTGCCCGCTGTGACGATGTTGCCTCCGTTGGACACGGTAAACTTGGGCGTACCAGAATTGCTGATCTCAAACCCGTTCGAGTCCACAAGCAAGTTGCCGCCCGTGACTTTGGTGGTCGTGCCCGTGAGCACCACTCCCGTCGACGCCAACGACAAGCTCGAGGCGGTGGCGCTGAGTGTAATGGCAGCACACGCACCTGCCAGCAACGTCGGGCTGACAGTCAGCAGCGACGACGCCGTGGCGTCCGCGACAGAGAACGACCCACTGGACGACCCAGCACCAAGTCGCACCGTGACGGACCCCCCGATGGTGGAGCCAGCTCCCGATACCAGCAAGAGGTTGCCACCCACCGTGGAAGAGCCAGCGCCAGCTTTCAACTCCACGTTGCCACCAATGGTACCCGCACCACCCGTGATGGTGGCCTTGCCTCCAGTGGAGAGACTGCTGGCGCCCGCTGTGACCGACACAGCGCTACCGATGCCGACAGAGCTGGACCCAACCGACAACGAAATCGCACCGCCAGATCCAGTGGTGGAATCGGCCGTGACGATAGCAATTGCCCCGCTGGACATTCCAGTTCCAACTGTCGAGAGGGTGATGCCGCCGCTGGTGGAACCCGACGCACCTGCACCGCCGACCATGACTATATTGCCGCCAACGCCAGTTGTACCCAGCCCCCCAGTGAGCTCGATGTTGCCTCCAGCTAGCCCTTGTCCTCCGGTAAGAGTATTCTTCCCGCCAGTGTTGTCACCACTGTTGCCAGCAGTGAGGGCAACGGAGTTCCCCACTCCTGTCGAACTACTTCCAACAGTAAGCGCGATGCCACCGCCACCACCTGCGGTCGCAGTGCCCGTCGTCAATAAAATGCTGCCCGTCGGTGCAGCACCCGACAACGTCGACAACGTGATTTGACCACTTGCCTTGGTGGAAGAGCCGGCGCCACTGATGAGGTTGATGCTGCCGCCAGTGTTACTCGTTCCCGAGCCGCCAGTTAGCACCACGCTGCCACCTCCAGCGCCGGTAGCGGTGCCTGACCCAACACCACCAGTCAACTCGACATTGCCACCAATCGCACCAGCCCCACCCACAAGGGACGTTTTCCCTCCTGCTAACGTCGTCGATGACGTCAAGCCAGACGTTAACGTAATGGAGCCACCCACTCCAGTGGAACTATCGCCGACCGTCGCAACAATGTTGCCACCACTTCCAGAAGTAGACGTGCCAGACAGAATGGAAATGACGCCACTATTGATAGCGCCGCCAAGTGTAGACAACGTCAGAGCTCCACTTGCCGTGGAACCAGACCCAGACTTGAGGACCACGTTCCCACCTGCGCCGGCGGACCCAACACCACCGGTCAGCTCCACATTTCCACCCACGGTACCTTCCCCGCCAAATAGTCGACTTTTCCCACCGGTATTGTCTGAGCTGCTGCCTGCAGTGACGGTCACCGCACTTCCAACTCCCGTAGACGACGAACCCGCGGAGATTCCGATCGTACCGCCCGATCCGGCACTTGCATCGCCCGTGGTGAGTGAAATACTACCGCTTGTGGCAGCCCCCGCCAAAGTGGAGAGAACAATCACCCCACTTGCTTTGGAAGAGGCACCAGCTCCGCTGATGAGCTGGACGGCGCCACCCGTTCCCAAAGTCGCGGCACCACCAGACAAAATGACATTGCCCCCACCAACACTGGTGGACGCTGTAGTGCCAGTGCCACCTGTTAATTCAACGTTTCCGCCAATAACACCAGTCCCGCCAAAAATGGACGATTTGCCGCCAGTGTCGTCACCACTGGTACCTGGAGTCAACGAGATGGCACTTCCAACACCCGTGGACGTAGCACCCACCGAAAGTGAAATGACACCTCCAGTGCCAGACGTTGACGATCCAGTCGACAAGGAAATGGCTCCGCTGTTGATGGCACCGCCAATAGTGGACAATGAAACTGCACCGCTTGTGGTCGAACCTATTCCGCCGGACAATACCACGTCACCGCCAACGCCAGCTGTGCCGGCCCCACCGTTCAACGCTACGTTACCGCCAACAGATCCAGCTCCACCAACAATATTGCTTGTACCGCCAGTATTACCAGTAGTGCTACCAGCAGTGACGGTCACACTGCTACCCACCCCGGAGGAACTTGCACCGGCTGTGATTCTGATCACCCCACCCGAGCCAGCGGTTGCTGCTCCTGTAGAGAGTGAAATACTGCCGCTTGTACTAGTTCCAGCCAAGGTTGACAATGTAATTTGACCGCTCGCAGCCGTGGATGCTCCGGCACCACTAATCAAGCTGATACTGCCACCAGTACTAGCTGAGCCGGCTCCAGCAGTCACAATGACATTTCCTCCGCCAATGACAGACGACGACGTTCCTGCCCCTGCTTTCAATTCAACGTTGCCTCCAACCGCACCGGTACCTCCAATCAACGTCGCTTTACCGCCGGCGGCAGTCGTCGACGACGTTGCACCGGCAGTAATCGTTACTGCACCACCAATTCCGGTGGAGCTCCCCCCAACAGTAGCCACAATGTTGCCGCCGTTACCGGCTGATGAGGTTCCAGATAAGAGTGAAATATCTCCACTGTTGATGGCCCCTCCAATTGTTGATAGAGTAACAGCACCGCTGGTTGTGGAACCCGATCCGCTGGTCAATAGAACGGTGCCACCAACGCCAGTAGTACCAACACCTCCGGTCAACTCGACGTTGCCACCAACCGAACCTTGTCCACCAATGGTACTGGCTTTGCCTCCAGTGTTTCCAGTGGTGGCTCCTGCTGTGGTCGTCACAGAACTTCCAACTCCCGACGAGCTTGAGCCTGCTGTGATTGTGATCACGCCACCGGAACCAGCAGTAGCACCCCCAGTAGTTAGCGCAATACTGCCGCTTGTTGCCGCTCCACCGACAGTGGACAATGTGATCCGACCACTCGCAGCCGTTGCCGCACCGGCGCCACTGACGAGGTTAATGTCGCCACCGCTATTGGAAACTCCGCTTCCACCCGTCAAGACAACGCTACCACCGCTTGCGCCACCTCCACCAGTCAATTCGACATTGCCTCCTATGGCACCGGAACCACCAACCAAAGATGTTTTACCACCAGTAGCTCCAGTAGCCGACGTTGCCCCAGACGTGAGCGCGATGGCACCACCTGCACCGGTTGTGCTGCCGCCAACTGTTGCCACAATGTTACCACCGTTGCCGGCTGTAGACGTTCCAGAGAGTAGCGAAATGGCGCCACTATTGATCGCACCACCAACCGTTGAGAACGTCAAGGTACCGCTTGCAGTTGTGCCAAGCCCACTTGTCAGCAACACGTTACCACCGATTCCAGCGGTACCCACACCACCGTTCAATTCAATGTTTCCACCGGCAGTACCTTGACCACCGACAAGCTTTGACTTGCCGCCAGTGTTGTCGCCGCTACTGCCTGCAGTCACCGTCACTGCACTGCCTACGCCTGTCGAGCTCGCGCCCACGGTAACGCTGATTGACCCGCCAGATCCAGCAGTGGCAGCGCCAGAAATCAGTGAAATGCTGCCAGTGGTTGCAGCACCAGCCAACGTCGACAGCGTTACTTGGCCACTTGCCATGGTAGCAGCTCCAGCACCGCTGACGAGTGTAACACCTCCACCAGTGGCTTGGGTTCCGGTTCCTCCAGACAAAATGACATTTCCGCCTGCAATGGACGCTGCCGTAGTTCCAGTGCCGCCTGTGAGTTCGACGTTGCCACCCACAACTCCACCACCGCCAACGATGGTCGTCTTCCCACCGGTATTGTCACTGCTTACCCCAGGAGTGATGGTGATGGCCGTTCCTGGACCTGTGGAAGTACCCCCAGCGGAAAGCGAAATACCCCCGCCATTGCCAGACGTTGACGTTCCGGTGGATAGTGCAATGGAGCCACTGCTGATAGTCCCGCCGACCGTTGAGAGAGTCACACCACCGCTCGAGCCAACGCCGGTTCCACTCGTCAACACAATGTTGCCTCCGAGGCCAGTAGTACCGACTCCGCCAGTCAGTTCCACGTCTCCTCCAATCGTGCCACGACCGCCAACAGCCTTGGACTTGCCACCTTTGTTGTTGGCACTTTCACCAGCCGTAACTGTGACTGCACTGCCAACCCCGGTCGAACTTGTGCCTGCAGTCACAGTAATGACACCTCCAGATCCAGCACTAGCAGAACCCGTCGACAGGGAAATACTACCGCTAGTAATGGCGCCAGCCAAAGTAGACAGGGTTATTTGACCACTCGCCTTTGTCGTCGCTCCGGCCCCAGTGACCAAGTTGATATTGCCACCCGTGCTGGCGGTGCCTGTACCCCCATTAAGGTTCACATTCCCGCCACCAGTACCCGTGGCACTGCTTCCAGCCCCGCCGGTGAGTTGAACGTCACCACCAACTGTGCCTGCGCCACCAACGACTAACGTTGTACCACCCGCAGAGTTCGCGCTGGTGCCTGATGTCAGTGTGACCGCAGAACCCACGCCTGTGGTTGTGCCGCCAGTGGCAATTGTTATAGCACCTGCCGACGCAGTACTAGATGTTCCAGTGGAAATCGTCACGGCTCCACTGTTTCCCGTCGCACCGGATGCTGAGATCGTGATCGAACCACTGGTCCCACCACCAAATCCACTGACGAGTTCAACGTAGCCACCATTTCCGGCCGTTCCTTGGCCAGCTGAGAGCGACACGAAGCCACCCAAACCCGTGCTGCCTGTTCCAGCTGTCAGTTGAATACCGCCACCAGCAGCACCGTTTCCAGCAGTGATGGCAACGCCACCGCCACTAGCTGACGTACTTTGTCCAGATTGAAGTGTCAATGCGCCACCAGCAGAGGAACCCCCGGCACCAACAGACATGGTGATAGCCCCACTCGTGCCAGTCGCAGTTCCAGTGGTCAATGCGATCGAACCACCAGTTGTAGAGCCACTTGCTGAGATGATGTAGACATTGCCACTTGTACCGGAAGAAGAACCCCCGCCACTCGTCAACAGTAGATTGCCACCTGTCGACGTACCCAACCCACTTGTAAGCTCAACATTGCCACCTGTGACACCACCACCGGCTGCCAGAGACGCTTTACCACCGCTACTGGTGGTACTTAATCCAGCTGTTGCAGCCCACGCTCGTCCAGTGCCCGACGAACTCCCAACCGAAAGCGTAATGGCCCCACTCGAGCCAGTGCCACCAGCATTGCCCGTGGTAAGCGAAATTGCACCAGACGAGCCGGACGCGCCGCCAGTTGAAACTGTAATCGCGCCACTTCCAAAGCCGCTTGCGCCGGAACCAGTGGCCAATTGGACACCTCCACCCGTGCCAGCAGTGCTTAGGCCACCAGTCAATGCCAAACTTCCGCCAGCCAAATTGGTGCCAGCCCCGCCAGTCAGGGTAATTCCACCGCCGATGTTCCCGCTACCTCCGTATAAGAACATTTTGCCCCCAGTTCCAGAGGCAGACGACGTCAGTCCGGCGGTTAGAGTAATGGAGCCGGCAGCACTTGCGGCCCCTCCTCCCACAGCCATTGCAATAGAACCTGCAGCGGAAGTCCCCGTGCCAGTGTTGATAGCAATGGGGCCGCTTTGTGCAGCACCTCCGAGGGTGGACAAGGTGATGCCTCCGCTTGACAGCGTGCCTGTTCCGGTGTTGAGTAGAACGTTACCACCCGTGCCAGCACTTGCAGCACCGCCATTAAATTCGACGTCTCCTCCCACAGTTCCACCGCCACCGGTCACGGATATCTTACCACCGGCTGCAACACTACTCGACCCAGCGGTCAGAGTGATCTTACCACCGGTGTCTAGTGCACCAGAGCTGACGGTGGCTGTAATGTCACCCCCAGTTCCGGCAGACGACGTGCCTGTAGCCAGTGACAAAGCGCCACTATTTCCGGCACCATTGGCCGTCGAGAGACTGATCAATCCACTTGCAGCACCGGTACTGGCACCAGACGCAATGGTAACTTTCCCACCAGCGTTAGTAGACCCCGCACCAGCATAAAAGCCAAGGTTGCCACCGTATGAGCCTTGCCCTGCTTGAAGGGAAATAGCTCCACCCGTCGCAGCGGTAGACGACCCACTGCCGATACTTACTGTTCCACCCAAACCAACTGTACCAGCTCCGGATGACACAGTCACACTACCACCCGATCCTGCAGTCACAGCTCCGGAAGCCAACGTCACTGCGCCGCTTGTGCTTGTGCCTCCAGCGGTAGACAAGGTAAGTGCACCACTGGCAGCAGCTGCGGCACCGGTACCAGTCACCACGACGATTTGACCTCCAGTGTTGGCACTTCCAGCCCCACTCGTGAGTTCAAAGTTGCCACCCGTCGTACCAGCACCACTGAAAAGCGACGCTTTGCCGCCGGTTGAGGCTGATGCAGTTCCAGCACTCAGTGAAATAACACCTCCAATTCCTGCCGTGGTGGCACCAACGCTAGCGGTAATACCACCGCCCACACCGTTCGCACCAGCCCCCGTAGCCAACGAGATTGCGCCACTGGAAGCAGACGTTCCACTTGTCGACAACGTGATACCGCCACTAGTAGCAGTCGACCCCCCAGCCCCTCCGAGCAAGGCAATGGTCCCGCCCAAACCAGCGGATCCTGTCCCACTGGTCAGTTCGACGTTGCCTCCAACCGTACCGGCGCCACCAAATATGGCATTCTTGCCACCTGTGGACGCAGTGCTGGCACCGGCAGTTGCTGTGATCGCAGAGCCAATGCCGGTTACACTCCCACCTACGGATATGGTCACAGCACCACCACTGCCAGCGGTAGGTGTTCCCGTTGTCAGCGCAATTACTCCAGAGGTACTTGGTCCAGTTGAGGTTGAAAGCGTAATGCCACCACTGGCATACGTGGCAGCACCAGCACCAGTAGCGAAAGTCATTGACCCTCCGGTACTCCCCGTGCTCGCGCCACCAGTCAATAGGATTGAGCCTCCGGTGCTTGATCCGGCGCCACCAGTAGCCTCGAACCTACCACCGACAGTACCCGAACCCGCTGTGACGGAAGTTTTACCACCAGTGGAGGCTGTGCTACTTCCAGACGTCAAGGTGATGGACCCTCCAACGCCTGTGGTACTACCACCAACAACAGCCCCAATGGCCCCTCCAGACGCAGATGTTGAGCCTCCAGTGACTAGCGATAGCTGGCCACTACTGAACGCTCCACCAGTTGTCGACATTGAGATACTTCCACTGGATGATGACGATGCGCCACCACCACTCGTCAACAACACACTGCCACCCGTGGTCGACGTACCCACACCCCCTGTGAATTCCACATTGCCGCCAATTGTCCCTTGACCACCAAAAACACTCGATTTGCCTCCGGTTGAAGCAGCACTGACACCAGCTGTCAGTGTGATGGCCCCACCAATGCCCACAGCACTGGTTCCTGCCAATCCAGTAATACTGCCACTGTTGCCAGTGGATGTCGCTGTGCCTGTGGTGAGGGTGATCGATCCACTGGTAAATGCACCGCCACTAGTTGACAACGCCACATCGCCACTTCGGGTGCCTCCAAGGCCAGACGAGAGCTGGATATTCCCGCCTGTCGTTGAGGTTGCCGAACCGCCATTGAACTCGATATTGCCTCCAACAGTGCCTGAATTACCAGAAATGGACACCTTTCCACCCGTCGAAGCGGAGCTTGAGCCTGCAATCAAACTCACTTGGCCGCCAATGCCAGTACTGCTGGCCCCCACGGCAGCACTAATAGCACCCCCACTACCACCAGTGGATGTGCCAGTGGTGACGAAAATTGAACCAGAGGAAAACGCTCCACCAGTTGTCGAAAGAGAAACGGCACCGCTACCTTGAGACGCAGAGCCACCACCCGTGGTTAGTACAATTTGACCTCCGGTTGAGGATGACCCAACGCCACTTGTGACTTCAACGCTTCCGCCAACAGTGCCTTGACCTCCGACGATCGAGCTCTTTCCTCCAGTAGACGCACTGCCAATACCGCCCGTGAAGGAGATGGAACCTCCGAGGCCAGTGTTGCTGGAACCAGCCAAAGCAGAAATAGAGCCACCAACTCCTGACGACGACGCACCAGTGGACAAGCCAATCCCACCAGATGGGAACGCTCCAGAAGCCGTGGATAGTTGTATATCTCCACTTGCAGCCGTGCCAGTTGATGTGCCCGTGGTAATGAAAATTCCACCTCCAGTAGAAGCTGAAGATGTCCCGCCGCTTAAACGAATACTTCCACCCGTGTTAGTCGTTGCCGCACCACCGGTGAGTTGAATCTCACCACCCGCGGTGCCAGCACCACCAGTGATGCCAGCATTGCCTCCTGAAGCCGACGCACTCGGCCCCGACACAAGAGAAATGGCGCCTCCAGGGTTAGTTCCGGAACTGCTTCCGACATTGGCACTGACGCCGCCACCAGTCCCGTCGGACGCAACTCCAGTTGTAAACGAAATGGCTCCACTGGAGCCACCGTTATCCGCCGATGCCAATACAATTAATCCACTGCTTGCCGTGGCAGACCCCACGCCGCTTGTAAGGCGAAGTGCGCCACCAATACCAGAGGAACCCGCTCCACCATTGAGCAAGACTGCACCGCCATTAGTAGTGGAGCCGTCGCCACCATTGATGGTCACGGTACCACCTCCAGTGCCACCGCCTCCAGAAACAGTCGTACCACCGCCAACGGCAGCCGCGCTTGCGCCTGACGTCAAGGTCATCGTGCCGCCGACACTGGTGTTACTGCCACCGACGGATAACGCGATGTTCCCGCCGGACGCAGCCGTGGATGTTCCACTTGAGATGCGAATTTGACCACTAGAAGGTCCTCCACCGGCAGACGAAATGGACACAGCACCACTGGCTTGACCTGTGGCACCAGTACCAGTAACAACGTTGATTCCACCACCGATAGCCGTCGTGGAGCTACCCCCAGCCAGCGAGATTGCTCCGCCATTGAGAGTGTTACCCACTCCTGCAGTGAGCTCCACATTACCACCGACTGTGCCTGCGCCACCAAGAATGGAGCTTTTGCCACCAGCCGCATTTCCACTAGCGCCAGCCGTCAGCGAAATCGTACTACCGATTCCAGTTGACGATGATCCAACAGAGGCGATGATACCGCCACTTGACCCAGAAGTAGCAGCGCCGGACACGATGTTCACACCGCCGGTGTTGAATGCACCAGTCGCAGACGATAAACCAATGGTTCCACTCGTAGACGAGCTTCCAGCGGCTCCACTTGTTAGGATAATGTTCCCGCCATTGCCGGTTGTAGCAGCTCCACTTGTAACTTCGATGTCACCTCCGCCGGTCACACCTTGCCCACCAGTCGCTCGAACTTTTCCGCCAGAGTTGTCTCCACTGATGCCTGCTGTAAGTGAAATTGCACTTCCAGCCCCAGTCGACGTCGAGCCAACCAAAGCGGTAAGAGCACCTCCAGCGCCAGCAGATGCAGCACCAGTCGTCAAGGACAAAGCCCCACTTGAGCTTGCCCCTGCAAGAGTTGACAATGTGACTTTGCCACTGGCGGCGGCGCTGCCTCCGGAACCACTGACCAAGTTAATACTACCACCGGTTGTGATTGTAGCAGCACCCCCTGTTAAGATGACGTTGCCGCCACCCACTCCAGTCCCACCGCCTGCACTGCCACCCGTAACTTCAGCATTTCCACCAACCGTGCCAGCGCCTCCAAACGCCGACAACTTTCCACCAGTGGACGCGCTTGTACTTCCAGACGTTAACGTGATGGTCCCACCAAGGCCAGTGGTACTGGCGCCAACTGTGACCGCAATATTGCCACCATTTCCGGCAGTGGATTCCCCAGAAGTGACTGATAGTGCACCACTAGTGAAACCGCCACCCACAGTTGAGAGCTTAATCTCCCCACTGACTGAGGCAGTGGCAGCGATTCCACTGACCAACGAAATGTGCCCACCAACACCAGTGGACCCGGTGCCTGCACTGAGCTGGATCACGCCCCCAGCCAATCCTTGACCTGCATTAATGGCAACTTGCCCTCCGGTATTGTCAGTGCTAGCGCCAGATTGTAACATCACGGAACTTCCAGCAACACCAGTGCTACTGCCAGCCGTCAACCCAATGGCACCACCAGCACCAGTTGACGCGTCGCCAGTCACCAAGTTAATCTTGCCACTAGTTGTTGCACCCGCCAAAGTGCTCAACGTCAAATCACCGCTAGCCTTGGTTGAAGCACCAGCACCAGTGATGAGTTTAATAGCACCGCCAGTGCTAGCACTGCCTTCGCCACTTGAAATAAGAACCTTGCCGCCAGCACCAGCCGCATCGCTTCCAGTACCAGCAGTCAACTCAAGATTTCCTCCGATGGTTCCAGATCCGCTCTGAAGGGCAATTTTGCCACCATCAGCAGTAGTACTCAAACCGGCTGTAATAGTGGAACTTCCTCCAATGCTTGCAGAGCTATCGCCAATTGACACAGCAAAATTACCACCAGACCCAGCCGTGCTCGATCCGGTCAGTATCGAAATTCCACCGCTGCTGATTGCACCACCCGTGGTTGAAACTTGAACTTGGCCGCTTGTGGAGGACGTTGCCCCGGCACCACTCGTCAGTAGAACTTGACCGCCGATAGTGCCTGTTGCAGTTCCTCCAGTCATCTCAATGTTACCGCCGACAGCACCATCACCACCAGTGAAGCTCGTTTTGCCACCAGCCGCGTCAGCACTTTTTCCTGACAAGAATGCAATACTTCCACCAATTCCGGTAGATGTATCTCCCACAGTTGCTGCGATGTTACCACCAGCTCCGGCCACAGGGGTACCCGTAGTCAGCGAGATGGCTCCACTTGTGCTTGGACCGGACAAAGTCGACAGGACAATCGCCCCGCTTCCGTACGAAGTCGCCCCTTGGCCAGTTGTAACACGGATGCTACCTCCCGTACTTGTACTGCTGACACCACCAAATAGCGTGATACTGCCACCAGTATTGGAGCCACTACCGCCTGAAAGTTGAACATCACCACCGACAGTTCCCGACCCTCCATTGACGGAACTCTTTCCGCCAGTGGCAGCCGAACTGATGCCAGCTGTCAACGTCACATCTGGTCCATTTCCAGTGGCACTTCGACCAGAAGTAGCTGTAATAGCACCTGCATTTGCGGACGCAGAATCTCCCGTTGTCAAGGAAACGCCGCCACTGGCAAACGATCCACCTGTAGACGACAATGCGATCGCGCCAGAAGCAGTCGTACCAGCACCAGACGCCAAAGCGATGCTGCCACCAAAGGTCGCACTTCCGGCTCCGGCAGTCAGTTCAACATTGCCGCCCACGCCGCCTGCTCCGCCGACGACACTAGCTTTCCCACCAGTAGACGACGTGCCCAGACCCCCCGTAAGAGTGATACCCCCGCCGTTACCCACGGCACTTCCACCAGCAGTCGCAACAATGTTCCCACTATTTCCAACCGATGTTGCAGTGCCGGTCGCAAAGGTAATCGTTCCGCTTGTATACGCACCGCCATTGGTGGTGAGAAGCACATTTCCGCTCTTTGACCCTCCTTGGCCTGAGGTTAGTGCAATCGACCCACCGGTCGCTGTATTACTGCTTGCGGTTCCGCCTGTGAGCTCGACGTTGCCGCCTGCGGTACCAGTATTCCCTGACACAGAAACTTTGCCACCAGTGGAAGCAGTGCTGAGACCACCAATCAAGCTGATTTGACCACCAATGCCCGTAGAACTCGCCCCGACGGCAGCACTGATGGTGCCTCCGTTTCCATTTGTAGAAGTACCAGTGGTCAGTTGAATAGCACCACTTGTGTAGTCGTTTCCGGCAGTGGAGAGGGTGATTGCGCCACTGGTGGTTCCAGTTGGCGCGCCACCAGAGGTTAGACTGATAGCTCCGCCGGTTGTGGTGGCGGAAACAGCACCAACCAATTCGACAGCTCCACCTTGAGCCCCAGTGCCCGAAGTAATGGTCACCTTGCCCCCTCTGGCCGCCGTACTTGTACCCGCTGTCAGTGTCAGAGCTGATCCAATACCGGAACCACTTGATCCGACCGAAAGGCCAATTGTACCTGCAGCAGCCGACGACGACGGGCCAGTGCTCAGGGTCACAGCACCAGTTGGATACACGCCTCCGCCAATGCTAGCCACCGAAATCGAGCCACTTGCATACGTCGTAGCACCAGCACCACTAACCAATTGAATGTTGCCACCGGTACTACCGGTCCCAGCTCCGCCGGTGATAAGAACAGCGCCGCCAGTGCTAGTGGTACCCACACCACCTGTGACAGCCACATTACCTCCCAAGGTGCCTTGGCCACCAGTGACAGAAGTGAGCCCTCCAGTCGAAGTTGTACTCGCACCGCCCACGACAGATACTGCACCTCCCAAGCCTGCAGTACCTCCACCCGCGGAAAGAGCGACACTTCCACCTGTTCCAGCTGTTGCGGTTCCAGTTGCCAACATCAAAGAACCACTGGTACTGGCACCACCGCTGGAAGACAGCACTATGGCGCCACTAGCAGCAGTTGCAGCACCCACACCCGATATTACAACGACTTGACCACCAGTGTTGGCCGTTCCAGCCCCGCCCGTCACGAGTGCGCTTCCCCCAAAGCTGCCAGCACCTCCAACGACTGAGGTCTTTCCGCCTGTTGCGGCAGTTCCAACTCCTGAAGTAAGAGTAATGGATCCACCAGTGTTGGCTGAACTGCTGCCTGGTGAGACACTGATGTCACCACCAACACCATTCGTGCCTGCACCTGTGGCGAGTGAGATGGCACCACTTGATGCCGCGGTAGCCGATGTTGACAACGTGATTGCACCGCTTGTAGAGGTCGCTTCGCCGGCGCCACTTAACACAGCAATTAGCCCTCCATTGGTAGTAACACCAGCTCCACCCGTGAGTTCAACGTTACCACCCGCGGTGCCTTGCCCACCGAAGAGACGCGTTTTGCCGCCGGTTGAGGCTGCACCAATTCCAGCAGTCAGCGTAATGCGACCCCCGATTCCAGCAGTACTGGAACCAACAGTCACCGACACATCGCCACCAGATCCGACGGTTGGAGAACCAGTTACGAGGGAAATCGTACCACTTGTGCTTGGACCTACCGCCGTAGACAGTGTAATCGCCCCGCTGGAGGTCGTGCTGGCACCGACGCCACTCAGCAACGCAATGGCACCACCTGACGCAGCAGAACCGATACCAGCCGTAAGTGACAAGGAACCACCGCTGTTTGTCCCGGCACCCCCAGCGATGGAAATACCACCACCGATGGCACCTGCCCCACCAACAAGACTACTAGAACCACCTGTTGCTGTGGCACTGCTGCCGGCGGTAAAGGACACGCTGCCACCACTTACGACAGAACTTCGACCGGCCACGCCAGTAATAGACCCGATCGCAGCTGTGGTCGAGTCGCCAGTAACCAGGGAAATAGACCCAGTGGTAAAGCCACCACCAGTGGTTGAAAGCGTGATCCCGCCACTGCCTGCAGCGGCGGCGCCGCCCCCAGTAGTCAATACAATTTGACCACCAGTGCCCGAACTGCCAACACCGCTTGTCAATTCCACATTTCCGCCGATTGTACCTTGACCCCCAGAAATACTAGATTTTCCACCGGTAGATGCAGAGCCCACCCCAGCTGTCAGAGATATAGCTCCACCGACGCCAACGGCACTGCCACCTGCTACAGCAATTATACTTCCACTGTTGCCGATGGAGGTGGCTGTTCCAGTGCTGAGAGTCACACTGCCACTTGTGAATGAGCCGCCACTCGTAGTAAGCGCAATGTTTCCGCTCCTGATTCCACCCAGGCCTGAAGTAAGCTGAATGTTGCCACCCGTGGCTGGAGATGCGGTCGCTGTTGCTGTGCCACCGTTCAGTTCTACATTGCCTCCGACGGTACCAGTGTTGCCTGAAATAGAAACCTTCCCACCCGTGGAAGCGGTACTGGACCCAGCAATCAGACTGATAGCTCCTGCGTTTCCGGCAGAGCTTGCTCCAACGGCGGCGCTGATTGTGCCACCACTGCCTCCAGTTGAAGCGCCGGTTGTGATGAAAATGGCTCCTGATGGATACGCACCGCCGGAGGAAGACAATGAAATACTTCCACTTCCTTGAGACGATGAACCAGCGGCAGAGGTCAAGACGATTTGACCACCGGTGGACGAGCTGCCCACGCCACTGGTCAGCTCGACGTTTCCACCAATCGTGCCTTGGCCGCCAAGAAGCGAGCTTTTGCCTCCGGTGGAAGCACTTGAAATGCCCGCAGTAAAAGTGACTGTACCGCCTACGCCAGCACTACTCATTCCGCCTTGTGCGGTGATCGAACCAGCTGTGCCAACCGACGACGCTCCAGTGTTCAAGGAAATAGATCCAGTCGGGAATGCTCCGGCAGCGGTTGAGAGTGCAATGTTTCCACTGGTAAATGTGGCAGTGCCAGCACCCGACGTTAGCAACACTCCGCCGCCGGAGGCGGCAGTCGAAGCGCCGCCAGTAAGGCGGACCTGCCCACCAGTCGTCGTTGCTCCCACACCACCAATCAACTGGACATCACCACCGGCCGTACCGCCGGAGCCTCCAGTGAGAGCTATTTTTCCACCCGTCGCACCAGCACTGACACCCGACCCAAGGGTGATGTCTCCACCAACACTTGTTCCGGCGCTACTACCCACTTGCAAGGAGATTCCACCACCTGTCGCACCCGCGGCTACGCCAGAATTTAACGACAGCGATCCCGTTGAACCAGTGCTGTCTGCAGACGACAAGGTAACGGCACCACTCGAGAGCGATGTCGAGCCCACCCCACTGGTAACCTGAACTGCGCCTCCAACTCCAGACGTCCCGGCACCGCCAGTTATAATTGCAGCGCCACCGTTTGCTGCGGAGCCGGCACCGCCGATGATTCGAACGGACCCACCACCGGTACCAGCACCACCAGTGACGGACGCTTCACCACCAGTGGATAGTGTGCTAACACCAGCTGTAAGTCGTGCGGATCCCCCCACGTTGTTGGTAGAGTCCCCAACGGTGGCGACAATGTCTCCAGGATTATTGGCTGCAACACCAGTGTTGAGAGAGATACCACCAGCCCTCGGACTGGCTTCTGTGGATAAGACAATGCCACCACTTTGAAGGGTGTTGCTAATCCCAGTTTTCAACGTAATACTGCCACCAGCATTAGCACTTCCCGTGCCCGTCGCAATCTGCAATGAGCCGCCTGTCGTTCCACTGCCACTAGTAAGCGACACAGCACCGCCCGTAGAATCACTCGATGCACCGGATGTAATCATGATTGCTCCGCCGACACCAGTGGCAGTCGATCCAGTGGAAATTACCACACTGCCGCTGACAGATCCAGAGGACGTTCCAGTGGTCAGCGAAATCTTCCCGGATGTGCTTGCACTTCCCTTGGTCGATAGCGTAACACTTCCAGATGTAAAGGCAGACGCGGCATTGCCACTGGTCAATTCGATATTGCCTCCATTTGCTGTTGACGAGTCTCCACCAGTTAGTGTGATACCCCCTCCAGTTTGGGACGCTGCCAACCCTCCGACCAAACTGACAACGCCACCGGACAAGCCACCCCCACTGGAAATGCTCACATCGCCACCTTTGCTCGCTGTTCCCAGTCCTGCAGTAATCGATACGGTACCGCCAAAGCCGGCGGTTGTGCTGTCGCCGACAGAAATACCAATATTTCCACCAACACCAGCGCTAGACGTGCCAGAACTCACTTGAATTGCACCGCTGGACGCAGCGCCACCCACAGTACTCAATGTTACACCGCCGCTTGTCGACGAAGCTACGCCAGATCCAGATTTCAACAAGATGTTGCCACCGAGAGTAGTGCCGCCGGCCCCACCAGCCAGCTCGACATTTCCACCAACTGCACCAGCACCGCCTGAAATACTTGATTTGCCACCTGTGCTACCGGTGCTCGTAGTTGCTCCGGCCGCCAACGACAGAAGTGCGCCATTGTTTCCGGAGCTGCTTCCTGCAATGGCAGTTATTCTACCCGAAGGACCAGAGGAGGCCCCAGTACTCAAGTAAATGGTTCCACTGCCAGTGCCCACTGCACTTGTCGAGAGAGCGACGTCGCCGCTGACAGCCGCACTATCACCACTTTGAAGCAAAACACTTCCACCACTGCTTGTAGCGCCAGCACCACCAGTTAATTGCACGGCACCACCCAAAGTGCCTGCCCCGCCAACGAGCGAAGTAGCGCCACCACTGGCCACAGTACTGGACCCAGCAGTAAATGTAACTGCTCCTCCGATTCCTTGCGTACCAGCACCAACCGTAGCAAAAATGTTCCCGCCAGTGCCACTAGTCGCACTTCCAGTGGAAATGGTCACAGTACCAGTGCTTCCGCCAACCGAAACACCCGTTTTCAGCGACAGTGGACCCGAAGCGCCTGCACTCGACACCCCGCTGTTGAAGTTCATAGAACCACCCGATACCCCCGAGCCACTGGCCAAGTTGATACTTCCTCCAGCACCTGTGGTTCCGGCACCGACGGTCAAAGATACACTTCCACCAGGTCCCCCGGTAGCTGGCCCTGTGACTAGAGATATCGATCCACTTGAGGCATCGGTTGGCGTAGACAGCGCTATCGAGCCACTGCTTCCAGTTGAAACCCCGACGCCACTGGTTAGCAGAACGTTGCCGCCGTTGGCTGTCGTTCCAGCTCCAGCCGATATTTCCACATTGCCCCCCGTCACACCCGCGCCGCCAACGATGGAAGATTTCCCGCCGGTCGCCACGGAGCTAGCTCCAGCTGTCAAGGTGACAACACCACCATCACCCAGAGCTCCGTTGCCAACAGTTGCTGTAATGGCCCCTCCGGTTCCGCCTGTTGCCGTCCCAGATGTTACGGTTAGTGCACCAGAATCACCCCCAGTGGAAGTGCTGGAGGCAAATGTCAAGGCACCAGATGAGCCAGCGGTCGACGAGCCACTCTGCAAGCTTAAAGCGCCACCGACAACGTTGTTTCCGCTTGACAGACTGATATCCCCACCGGTACCCGCAGTTCCAGCATTAACACTCAGGCGAATGTTGCCACTCGTGCCAGTCGCTGCCGCGCCAGTGGCAAGTAAGATGGACCCAGTTGCGCCATCGTCACTAGTGACCAACTTGATCGCTCCACTAGTTGCAGGACCGGTGCCAACACCACTTGTAAGCAGTACATCGCCCCCAACGCCCGCGGTACCGGCACCACCCGTGAGCTCAATGTTGCCCCCTCGCGTACCACTGCCTCCAGAAATGGATGTTTTGCCACCCGTAGCTGCTGAACTCATGCCCCCAGTCAGTGCGATCGAACCACCGGTAGCAACAGCACCGCTACCCGCAGTGACAACAATATTGCCACCAGTGCCCCCAGTAGCTGCACCACTTGAAATTGTGACTTGTCCGGAGTTTCCACCAGTAGCTGCACCAGAGGCGAGTGAAAGTGTACCAGACACTCCTGCAGACGAAGTTCCACTTGAAACAGTCACCGCACCACCTGAAACTCCATTCCCGCTGGACAAAGTCAAGCTGCCCCCGGCTCCAGTCGTTCCTGAACCAACCGCAATCGATATCGCCCCGCCAGAACCTGCAGAGGCAGCGCCCGTTGACAGTTGCAGTGCTCCCGTGGCACCTCCAATTGGTGTAGCAATGGTTACCCCTCCGCTGGAAGAAGCCGATGCACCGCTTCCACTTGAGAGCAATACAGATCCACCCAAGGTTGTTGATCCAGCACCGGCGGTGAGTTCGACATTTCCACCGATAGTACCAGCACCCCCAACAATGGACGATTTCCCACCAGTTGATGCACTGCTAGCACCCGCAGTGAAGATTACACCACCACCAACACCCACAGCGCCATTGCCTACGGATCCAGTGATAGCTCCACCCGTGCCACCAGCTGCAACTCCTGTCACAAAGCCAATGGACCCAGAGTTTCCACCAGCTGAGGCTGCAGTGGTTATCGCAGCAACCCCTGATGCCCCCGCACTAGACGCGCCAGTGGATAACGAAAGTGCACCACCAACAACGCCAGCCCCACTCGTGAACTGAACGGTACCGCCGGTTCCGGTTGTTGTACTTCCAACCGACACTGAAATAGCACCCCCGGACGCAGCAGTAGACGCACCAGTTGAAAGAGAAATTGGTCCACTAATTCCACCGGCTAATGTACTGACAGCCACGGCACCACTTACGGCAGAGGTAGTTGTTGCTGCGCCGGACGTCAATAGAACACTGCCACCATTTGTGGCACTTCCAGCACCGCCAAATAGTCGGACGTCGCCACCTGCAGTACCAACACCGCCAGAAACAGAAGCTAAGCCCCCCGTTGATGCGGAGCTAAGTCCAGATACCAGTTGAATTGCGCCTCCAGCACCCGTGGTACCTGACCCCACTGATGCGATAATTGAACCACCAGTACCTCCGGTGGCTACACCAGTGGACAACGTAATAGTACCAGAATTTCCACCAGTTGATGAGCTTGATTGAATCCCAGCCGCACCCGACGCACCAGCGGTAGATGCACCTGAAGTTAGAGTAATTGCACCACCAATGGCAGAATTTCCGCTGGATAAGCTGAGGGCACCACCTGTACCAGTACTTCCACCAGCGACTGCGACTTGGATGGCACCACCGCCACCACCACTAGCGGTACCTGACGTTATTGTGATAGCGCCAGTTTGCGCTGCCGACGTCGTGCTTAGGGATAACGCACCAGATTGGGCACCATTCCCACTGATGATTGACACCCCCCCACCAACGGTACTCGAGCCTGCACCCCCTGTCAGGGTAAGGCTGCCACCGTTTGCAGTTGAGCCAACACCACCAGTCAACTGAACGCTACCACCAGCTGTTCCGGCACCCCCGCTAACGGAACTGATACCACCCGTTCCAACTGAGCTCGCACCGGCAGTAAAGGTAAGGGCGCCACCATTTCCAGCGACTCCGTTTCCGACTGTGGCTAAGATGGCTCCTCCCGTTCCACCTGCAGTAGATGCTCCAGTCAAAATAGACACACTTCCAGATGCTCCGCCAGTGGCTGCGCTCGATCCCAAGGCAACGCTGCCTGAAGTTCCAGCTGTGGACGCACCACTAAGCACCGACACGGAGCCTCCAGCGACACCCACACCACTGGTCGCAGTGATTGAACCTCCAGAACCAGCACTACCACTGCCCACAGATATGGAAACGCTTCCCCCAGCGCCACTTGACGCAGCTCCCGTTCGCAATACAATGGCGCCAGATACAGCGCTTGGTTGTGTGCTCAGCGTGATACCGCCACTACCAGACGTCGCGGCACCGACGCCACTTTTCAATAGTACGTCACCTCCATTGGTTGATGAACCAGTGCCAGAAGTGAATTCCAAGTTGCCACCGACGGTTCCCACACCACCCACAAGGGACACTTTGCCCCCCGTTGACGCAGAGCTGGTGCCAGCTGTGAGGGCGATACTTCCTCCAGAACCTGTAGCACCATTCCCAACTGTTACAACAATGTTGCCACCAGTGCCACCCGTGCTAGCTCCAGTGGATAAGATAACCTGACCAGAACTGCCACCAGAGGCTGTGTTGGAAGACAGCGTCAGACTGCCTGATGTACCTGCACTTGAAGATCCACTGGATAGAAGGACGTTTCCGCCAGTTACGCCATTGCCACCAAAAATGGCTACATCACCACCTGTCGCACTGCTTGTACCCACGGAGGCTCGGATAGAACCAGAAGCGCCTGCAGTCGCTGTGCCAGATGCAAGCGCGATGGTGCCGCTTACGCTGCCAGAAGGGCTTGAGATATCAATGTTTCCACTTGGTTTAGTTGTGTCCACCCCTGCACCACTGGTGAGCACGAGGCGCCCACCGCTAGTTTGAGTTCCAACGCCGCCAAGCAGAGAGATTCGTCCACCTTCTGTGCCTTGGGCTGCTGTCAATTCGACATTGCCACCAACAGCATTGGCACTCGAGCCCGCGGTTAACAAGATTGCACTCCCAGCGCCAACCGTACTGGCGCCACCAGACAGCACAACATTGCCACCGACGCCCAACGTCGATGAACCAGTCTGAAGCAAAATAGATCCACTTGTAGCGTCGCCAGCAACTGTCGAGAGCGTCAACCCTCCACTCAGCGACGACGAAGCACCAGCACCACTCTTGAGGGTAATTTGGCCCCCAATGGTTGTGCCACCAGTTCCACCAACCAGCTCAACATTTCCGCCAACAGCAGCGGCACCACCGGTGATAGAAACTTTGCCACCGGTCCCACCTGATTTTGAAGATGCCCCTCCGGTGAGACTGACAGCCGTACCGTCGGCACCTGAAGATGACCCAGCAGACGCAGATATCCCACCAACGGCACCAGCAGATGCACCAGTAGTGAGAGCAATGGATCCTGTTGAAGTGCCCATGTTGCTGCTGGACAGCACAATACCTCCACTGGAAGCACTGCCATCGCCGCTCTTAAGAACAATCGAGCCGCCAGCACCGCTTGAACCTGCTCCAGCCGTGACTTGAACATTGCCTCCAGCTGTCCCCGCACCGCCATTTAAGGCGCTAGCTCCACCTACAGCCACAGTGCTGGAGCCAGACGTCAGCGTGAGTGTTCCACCAGCTCCAAGGACGCCAGCACCAACGGAAACCGCAACATTACCGCCCGTTCCACCTGTGGCGCTTCCTGTTGCAATGGTCAACGCTCCCGAGTTGCCCCCCACGGAGGCTCCCGACAGCATCGTAAGTGCTCCAGATAATCCGGCAGTTGATGCTCCACTGGTCAGTGCAAGGGCCCCACCTACAACGTCGGCGCCACTTGCGACACTCACACTGCCACCGGTGCCAGCGCTGCCACTGCCAACGGAAAGCGAAATGCTCCCACCTGCACCCCCAGTACCAGCGCCAGTGCTGACAGCAATTGCACCCGAGGTGCTGCCAGATGATGACGACAAGGTGATTGATCCACTTGTAGTCGAAGTCGCACCGGCGCCACTTGACATGAGGATGTTTCCACCAGCACCCGAGGCTCCAGCTCCGGCTGTTAATTCGACATTTCCGCCCACGGTACCTCCGCCACCATTGATTGACGATTTTCCTCCAGTGGCGACAGTGCTAGCACCAGCTGTGAGTGTCATCGCGCCGCCATTTCCAAGGACACCATTCCCCACGGCGATTGAAATCGCACCTCCAGTGCCTCCACCAGTAGAAGCACCTGAAGCAATAGCTACAGCTCCACTGCTACCGCCCGTTGCAGCACTCGATGCAATGGAAACGGAACCCGAGACGCCAGCAGTGGCAACACCACTTGCAATCGCGACTGCACCACCACTTACGCCAACACCGCTGTTGACATTAATCGCACCGCCAGCTCCCGTGGTGCCACTGCCAACCGACAAGGAGATGGCGCCACCTGGTCCTGCCGATCCAGTGCCAGTTTTCAACGACAAGGCACCAGAGGTTGCGTCATTCTGAGTACTGAGAGAAATTCCTCCGCTTAGGGCTGCAGTCGCCCCGACACCACTCTTGATGACGACATCACCACCATTCCCGGCTGCGCTGGAGCCACCAGTAACTTCAACGTTTCCACCGGTTGTGCCAGCTCCGCCATTCAATGCCACTTTGCCTCCGACAGCGGCTGAACTCTGTCCTGCTGTAAGGGTGATCGAACCGCCATTTCCAGTGTCGCCATTGCCCACTGCAGCGACAAAGCTTCCACCAGTACCACCTGTTGAAGCACCAGAAGCCAAATTAATCGAACCAGAGTTGCCGCCAGCTGCAGCTGCTGAGGACAATGCAACGCTGCCTGAGGAACCTGCAGAGGAACTGCCACTTCCGATTTGAACTGCACCGCCTGAAACGGAGTTACCCGAAGACAATTGAATATTTCCGCCCACTCCAAGAGTACCGGCTCCAACAACCATGGACAGGGAGCCACCCGCACCGTTAGTCGCAGCTCCAGAGGTTAATTGAATGGTTCCAGATGTGACTCCGCCAGCACTGCTGACCGAAATGGTCCCCGATTGACCCAAAGTTGAACTTGCGCCACTCAAAAGCGCCACATTGCCGCCAGCACCAGTGACACCAACACCACCAGTGACCAATACATTGCCGCCAACACTTCCAGCTGGAGTATCACCAGCAACAAGCTCGAGATTTCCTCCCGATGTTCCAGTGCCACCAGTCAAGAGAATTTTACCTCCAGTGGATGCCGTGCTTGTTCCAGCAGTTAACGCAATTCTGCCACCAGGAGTACTTGCTGCAGGCACGCCAGTGCCAACGGTTGCGATAATATTGCCTCCGGCTCCGCTTGTAGAGGCTCCCGTAGTCAAACTCAACGAGCCAGACGCACCACCGGTAGATGCAGCGCTAACAATCGATACGGAGCCTGACGTTCCAGCAGTTGATGAACCACTAGCAACGGACACATCTCCACCGGACACTCCAGCACCACTATTGAGGGTGAGAGCTCCACTTTGACCTGTAGATCCAGTTCCAACAGAAATTAAAACACTCCCACCAGTTCCACCAGTCCCCACGCCCGTGGCAAGCGTAATCGCCCCAGACGAAGCCGAGTCTTTCGTGCTCAAAGCGATGCCACCACTAAACGACGAAGCTGCACCGGCACCAGACGTGACAACAACATTTCCACCAGTGCTTGACGTGGCAAGTCCACCTGTAAGCGCGACATCACCGCCAATGGAACCACTGCCGCCGAGTACTGTCGACTTGCCCCCCGTGGAGGCTGACGATGCGCCTGCAGTAAACGTGATGGCACCACCAACACCCGTAGCACCAGTGCCAACCGTAGCAACAATGTCGCCGCCCGCGCCACCAGTCGCGTCACCTGACAATAGAGACACCGATCCCGAGCTGCCTCCTGTGGACGCACTAGATCGGAAAGTAACCGCACCAGATTTGCCAGCACTGGATGCTCCACTTGTAAGCGTCACTTCTCCACCCGTAATAGACGAGCCAGCCGTGAAAGCTACACTGCCGCCAACGCCTGTGGCGCCACTTCCCACGGTTCCAGAGATTCCGCCACCACGGCCACCAGTAGCAGCGCCAGACGTTAGCGTCAAGCTACCTGAGTCCCCTCCTGTGGAGGCTCCCGAGGACACAGCCACGTTTCCTGACGAGCCGGCCGACGATGTGCCACTAGTCGCAGAAATGTCACCACCGACCACAGAATTACCACTGGACAATCGGACGGCTCCACCTGTACCAGCAGTACCTCCGCCCACGGAAACGGTAATAGTACCGCCAACAGCGCCTGAAGACGATCCACTACGGATGGAGATGGCACCTCCACTTGTCGAAGACGAGCTGGGGGTGCTGAGGGCAATGTTACCACTGACAGAGTTGCTAGCAGCGGCTCCAGTGGTCAAAATAATGTCGCCGCCGACAGTGGCTGAACCGGTACCACTTATCACTTCAACATTTCCGCCCACAGTACCAGCTCCACCGACGAGGGACGACTTTCCACCAGTTGCTACAGAACTTGCTCCGCTTGTAAATGAGATCGCGCCTCCGTTGCCAGAAACTCCATTGCCAACAGTTGCGGTGATGGAACCACCTGTTCCACCAGTGGCTGCTGCTGTCGTGAGTGAAATGGGTCCGGATGCTCCGCCAACGGACGCAGCAGAGGATATCAAAACACTTCCCGAAACACCAGCAGTGGATGCCCCGCTTGACACAACTACAGAGCCACCAATTGCACTGGTTCCGCTGGCAATGTTGATTGCACCCCCCGTTCCGGCAACTCCTGTTCCAACCGACACGCTAATAGCGCCCCCAGCACCCGTCGTAGCCACTCCAGATCGTAGGAGAATGGATCCGGTTGTGCTGCTTCCAGCAGTGCTTAACGTAACGCCTCCACTGGTAGACGAAGCCGCGCCGGCCCCACTTGTTGCGACGATGTTACCACCCAACGTAGTGGCTCCGGCTCCGCCCATGAGTTCTACATTCCCTCCAACAGTACCGCTGCCACCAAGAATGGAGCTTTTGCCTCCGGTGGATGCAGCGCTAACACCAGCAGTAAAGGTAATCGCGCCGCCAGTTCCAGTAGCTCCAGACCCAACGAGGCCTGAAATACCACCACCGGTACCCCCAGTGGCTGCTCCTGACGTTAATGAAATAGCTCCAGAGTTGCCTCCCGTGGATATCCCAGAAGCAAAAAATAGCCCCCCCGATGAGCCAGCAGAAGAAACCCCACTGGTCACGCTTATTGGACCACCGTTTACGCCCGAGCCACTGCCGATGGTGGCACTCCCGCCCGTGCCAGTACTGGCGCTGCCAACTTCAAGGGAAATCGACCCTCCAGCACCACCTGTGCCGGCCCCAGTGGACAGCGAAATACCACCAGTCGTACTCGCTCCAGCACTCATCAAGGCAATGGGACCGCTCTGTGTAGTCGAAGCACCACTCGTTACCAGCACTTGACCGCCAATTCCAGCGGTTGCAGCCCCCGCATTTAACGCGACATCGCCACCAATGGTGCCACTGCCACCGATCAATGAACTTTTACCACCGGTGGAAGCTGAACTCAAACCCGCCTTGAGCGTAATCGCGCCACCGATGCCAGTGTCACCGTCGCCAGCTGCGCCGATCAAGCTACCACCTTTACCGCCAGTAGCGGTTCCACTTGTCAGTTGAACAGAGCCGGAATTGCCGCCAGTAGATGTACTGGTTGAAAGAGAAATCCCCCCCGATACCCCCGCAGTAGATGCGCCACTGATAATGCTGACATCACCACCAACAACAGAGTTCCCGCTGGACAGGCTAATTGAACCACCTGTTCCAGACGTTCCAACGCCCACTGAGGCGTGAATGCTGCCACCTGCGCCATTTGAGCCAGCCCCAGTTACAAGCAGCAGCATGCCGGACGTACTGTCATCGGCGGTAGCAACGTGCACGTCGCCACTAATGGCCGGTCCGGTGCCCACACCACTGGTGAGAACGATGTCCCCACCAACGCCTGCAGATCCGGCTCCACCCAAAACTTCAATATTGCCACCTGTCACACCAGCGCCGCCACGGAGACCAACTTTGCCACCTGTGGAAGCAGAACTGATCCCTGCAGTGAAAGTCAGTGCCCCACCAACGCCAACTGTGCCACTCCCACTGGTCAGGGCGATGCCACCACCTTTACCACCAGTAGATGTACCCGTCGCGACAGAAAATTGGCCAGAGTTGCCACCCGTTGATGCAGCAGTCAGTACAGTGACGTCGCCAGATGCACCAGCAGATGATGCGCCACTCGAGATGGCAACGATACCTCCTATAACGTTGTCGCCACTCTTGAGTGAAAGCGAGCCGCCCGTGCCTGCTGTTCCAGTGCCTACTGAAAGAACAATGGCGCCACCAGCACCAGTGGAACTGGCACCAGTGTTTAGGTTTATGTATCCACTTGTGCTAGCGGCAGTAGTTGACAGAGAAATTTTGCCACTGAACGAGCTTGCCGCACCAGCACCACTTGTCAGCAAAACATCACCACCGGTTGACGTCAGACTAGTTCCCGATGAAAGCTGGATAGCTCCACCAACATTGGTTTGACCAATGCCACCGTTGAGGACCAGTCCCCCACCTGATGATCCCTGGCCACCAAGCAGTGACACTCGTCCGCCAGTCGAGAACGAAGCAGATGTACTGCCTGCAGTGAACGTCACTCCGCCGCTAGTGGCGACAACGCTGTTTCCGACACTTGCGATGATATCTCCGCCTTGACCAGACGCCGTGGACGCACCAGTTAACAACGAAATACTTCCGGAATTGCCACCCGTAGCCGCAGCAGAGCCAATCGTCACTGCACCGGACGCCCCCGCTGTTGATGAGCCTGTCAGTAGAGATATCGGGCCACCCGCCACAGAAGTTCCTCCTCTAATTGAGACACTTCCGCCAGCCGACGCTGCGCCAGCTCCAACTGACAGGCTAATACTGCCACCTGGCCCTGCGCTTCCAGTCCCCGTGGCCAAAGAAATCGTGCCTGAAGTACTAGATCCAACAGTGCTCAATGAAATTGCCCCGCTTGTCGATGTGGACGCACCAGCACCGCTGGATAGTGCGATACCACCGCCGACAGCAGTAGTACTTGCACCTCCCGTTAAGATAACTTGACCACCAGCGTTGATGCCACCGGCACCACCAGTCAACTCGACGTTTCCGCCAGCAAGTCCAAGTCCAGCATTTAACGACGCTTTGCCTCCGGTTGAGACTGTACTCGACCCCGCCGTCAACATAATAGGGCCACCAACACCCGCCACGCCACTTCCAACTGAACCAATAATCGAGCCGCCAGTGCCACCAACAGTAGCAGCGCCAGTCGTTATGGACACGGTACCTGAGGCACTGCCCACGGAAGAACTTGTAGATACCGTAACCGCACCAGACTGACCCGCAGTTGAGGCACCCGTGCGTAACGTGATGGCGCCACCTGTGACTGATGACCCGGAAGAGAGACTGACGGTTCCACCGATACCAGCAACAGACGATCCCACGGCAAGGGTCAAGCTGCCACCACGACCACCAGTTGCAGTACCGGACGTCAGCGACAGAGCACCGGAATTTCCACCAGCCGAATTACTGGTAGAAATAGAAACACCACCAGAATCACCGCCAGTCGACGCCCCACTGGTCAATTGAATCGACCCGCCGGTCACAGATTGCCCAGCTGTAAACGTGATGGCACCTCCGGTTCCACTGGAGCCAGTGCCAATAAGCATCGAAATGTCACCACCCGTGGCCGAGTTGGACAATCCCGACGCAATAGCTATAGTTCCGGAGTTACCGCCCACAGCGTCGTTGGACTTGAGAGCAACATTTCCGGACGCACCAGCAGTAGAGGCGCCACTGATGATGGTGGTAGCACCTCCGCTGACACCTTTTCCACTTGTGAATGAAATGGCTCCGCCGGCACCGACACCACCGTTGCCAACGGACAATGAAATGGCACCACCTGATCCATCGTTTGCCAGCCCTGTGGATACTAGCACAGACCCAGAATTCCCTTGTATCGCTGTGTTTGTGACCAACGAAATAGTTCCCGACACTCCAGCCAAAGAAGGACCCGTAAGTAGAGTGATGTCACCACCAGCAACATTTTCGCCTGCGGTGACCGAAATCGACCCACCAACGCCACTCACACCACTGCCAACTTGAATCGCGACATTTCCACCAGTGGCAGTATCCGTTACGCCGGTCCCAAGGGTTAATGCTCCAGAGGGGCCACCTGATGCCGCCGCTGTTGCAATGTCTACCCGACCAGATGCACCTGCACTGGAGGGACCAGATGCCAAAAGGACGTCACCGCCGACCGGAGCCGACCCGGCTGACAACTGCATTTTTCCGCCAGTTCCAGTGTCACCTGACCCAACTGAAAATGCCAATTTGCCTCCATTGCCACCTGTGGCTCCACCCGAAAGCAATGTGATTGCGCCAGAATTTCCTCCCACGGAGGCACCAGTGGTAAGCGCAGTCGCTCCCGAGTCGCCGGCACTGGACGCCCCACTTGCCAAAGTCAAAGTCCCCCCTGCAGGGGCTAGTCCGGCTACAATAGACACGCTGCCTCCCGTACCAGTCGCACCATTTCCAACGGATGCTGTGATGGCACCTCCGGTTCCACCAGTGGACGCACCAGTCGATAAGCTAATAGCCCCGGAACTTCCGCCAACAGCAGCGCTTGATGTCAACGAAAGGGCGCCAGACGCCCCAGCAGTCGAAGCACCACTGAGTAAGGAAACGGGTCCTCCAAAGGGAGCCGCTCCAGCGATGAAGGAAATTGAGCCGCCGGTACCAACGGACCCACTGCCAACACTTCCAGAAATTCCACCTCCACCACCTCCCGTAGAAACCCCAGTGGAAACTTGAACAGCACCGGAAGCACCACCTGCAGCAGTGCTCGAGGCCAAAGTAATTGCACCAGAAGCACCAGCTGTGGACGCTCCGCTGCGCAGTGACACTGCGCCACCAACGACTGACCCACCAGCTGACAAGGCCAGCCCGCCTCCAGTGCCAACGGTACCAGAACCAACTGCGGCAGTAAAGCCACCCCCAACACCCCCAGTGGACGTGCCGGACGACAGTGATAGCGCACCAGTGTTTCCGCCAGTCGCGGCATTGCTGGATAAGGAAATTGCGCCGGAAGCTCCACCTGAAGCTTGGCCACTGAGAAGACTGATGGTTCCACCGATAACAGAACCACCGGCGGCAAGTGCAATGGACCCGCCGCTTCCAGTTGTGCCTGTTCCGACCGAGGCTGAAATGGAACCCGTTGTGCCGCCTGTCACAGCACTGGTGGACAAGGCAATGTTGCCAGACGCACCACCAACCGCCGTGTTAGTCGTGATTGAGATTGCTCCTGAGCTGCCAGCCGTCGAAGTACCACTTTGGAGCGCGATCGCTCCCCCAGCTACAGAATTTCCTGCACTCAACCGAATTTGACCTCCAGTACCCACAACGCCGGTGCCGACTGATACGACGACATTTCCACCGGTACCACCGCTTGAGGATGCACCGGATGCAATCGTCACCTGTCCAGAGCTTCCACCCGTGGCGGTATTTGTAGACGCTGTTATCGCACCAGATACTCCGCCAGTGGACGATCCACTGGTTAGGAATAGCGATCCGCCAGCAACAGAGTTGCCACCTTGAATGGTAAAATCTCCGCCTGCACTGGAGCTACCCACGCCAACACTCATTGTAATGGCACCACCAGGTCCGGATGAGCTAGTTCCCGTCGAGAGTTGCAATGCTCCACTGGCAACTCCATTGGCTGTCCTGAGGTTAACTCGGCCGGTGGTGCTTCCGACGCCACTCGTCAGCGTCACGGTACCTCCAGTTGCAGAGCCACTGACACCCCCACTCACAGCCACATTGCCACCGACGCCAACGTTGCCTAAGCCACCAATCACCACGACATTGCCTCCGATTGAGCCAACGCCGCCGACCTCAGTGATGTCTCCCCCATTCGCTGACGAGCTGAGTCCAGCTGTAAGTGTAATGGATCCACCGGTGCCTGTGACACCATTGCCCACCGTAGCCACAATACCGCCACCAGTGCCACCACTGGTGGATTGTCCAGATAACAAGGAGATATCGCCACCATTGTCACCCACTGCAGAGCTAGTGGACAATGAAATTGCACCAGAGGAGCCACCGCTGGCACTGCCACTTGTAACTGACACGGCACCCCCAGTGACAGATGATCCGCTGGAGAGAGTAACTCCACCGCCAATTCCAGCGGTGCCACTACCAACGGACAGTCCAATTCCACCACTTACCCCACTGGATGCTGCTCCCGTTGAAAGGGAAATCGAGCCCGAGGTAGTGCTGGCGGCCGTGCCAGCATTGAAATTGCCACTTGTGGACGATCCAACGCCACTGACGAGAACGACGCTTCCTCCATTAGTCGTGGAACCAGCTCCACCAGTCAATTCAACATTTCCACCAACGCTCCCGGAACCACCAATAACACTTGACTTTCCTCCAGTGGCGGCGCTACTAGCCCCTGCGGTCAGCACAATACTACCACCATTTCCGGTGTCGCCATTGCCGACCGTGCCGGTTACATCACCTCCTTTGCCGCCGGCAGCCACACCACTCACAAGGGATACAGCGCCAGAGTTGCCACCAGCAGACGTAGTTGACGAAAGGAATATACCCCCGGACACCCCGGCGGACGAAGCACCGCTCGAAACTTGAACTGCGCCACCTGCCACTCCGTCGCCGCTCTTGACACTGACTGCGCTTCCGGACCCGGTACTTGACGAACCAGCGGACAATCCGATGGCTCCGGCGGTTCCACCGCTTCCTTGTCCAGTTTGAAGCAGCAATGCACCCGAATTACTGCTCGCTACAGTCGCAATGGTGACGGCACCACTTGTCGAGGCTGATGCGCCAGCACCGCTTGACAGTAAGATACCGCCACCAATTGCATTCGAGCCAGAACCGCCGGTAAGTTCAATATTGCCTCCAACGGTACCAACTCCACTCGTCACGGAGACCTTTCCACCAGTGCTTGCAGAGCTAGCACCGGCTGTGAGAGATATCGGTCCTCCGGCACCAACGACGCCATTGCCCACAACAGCGGAGATTCCGCCTCCAGTCCCTCCCGCAGTGGAGCTGCCGGTTGTGATGGTCACAGCTCCCGATGCACCACCCGTTGCAGCACTCGTTCCAATGGATGCTGAGCCCGACACGCCGTTTGTGGAAGTTCCGGTCGTCAAGCCAATGCCTCCACCGACAACACCAGCTCCACTAGTGAGAGCAATGCTCCCACCAGTACCAGTAGTTCCAGCGCCAACGATTAAACTGATCGTGCCGCCAGGTCCTGCAGTACCAGCACCAGACTTCAATTGAATGAGCCCACTTGTGCTGCTTCCTCCGGTGCTCACGGACACCGAGCCGCTCACAGAGTTGGCGGCACCCACACCGGTCAATAAGTTGATGTTACCGCCAGTGGAAGAAGACCCAGCCCCGCCTGTCAATTCAACGTTGCCACCCACCGTTCCTAGTCCTCCAATGATAGAACTCTTGCCACCTGTCGAAGCAGTGCTAACGCCACTTGTAAACGTAACAGCACCACCAACACCGGCTACACCGTTTCCAACAAGACCAGTGATGTCGCCGCCGCTGCCACTTGAAGCTGAAGTGCCAGTGGAAAAACGAACGCCACCAGTCGAACCGCCAGTGGCTCCTGCAGATGACAACGTAACCGATCCAGATGCACCAGCAGTAGATGCACCGCTGGTTACTGTAACTGCACCTCCCATGGCCGCTGCACCACTAGACAAGGAGACTGAACCTCCTGTGCCAACAGTGCCAGCCCCAACTGTTAAGCGAATCGCTCCCACAGGACCATTCGAAGCGGTTCCTGTCGTAACTTGAACGGCACCACTGGTAACTCCAGCAGCCGAATTGACTGATACACTGCCAGTGAACCCCAGCGACGAGCTCAAACCAGAAGTAAGAACGATATTCCCGCCTGTACCAGAGGATCCAGTGCCCCCAGTAAAAACCAGATTTCCACCACTTGTTTGACCAGCACCCCCGACCACTTCAACATTGCCGCCCACGGTAGTGCCACTGCCACCAACCAACGACGTTTTGCCGCCAAATTGATCCGCACTTGCCCCCGCAGTTAACGAGATGGATCCGCCAATGCCCGTTGCGCCGTTGCCGCTTGAGATAGCCACACCGCCACTGGTGCCTCCAGTAGCCGCGCCAGAGGCAATCGTCACGACGCCAGAATTCCCGCCTATGGAAGCGCTGGAGGCAACGTTGACTGCACCTGACGCGCCACCAGTGGACAAACCACTAGTAGCACTCAACACACCACCAACAACACCTTTTCCGCTATTAATGGACACTGTTCCACCAGTACCAAGCGTCGCAACTCCCACAGCAAGACTGATGGAGCCCCCGGGACCTGCCGACGCATCCCCTGTGGTGAGAAAGATAGCGCCGCTCGTGGTTCCGCTGACTGTGGTCGCCGAAATGTCGCCACTAGTTGATGTCGTGCCACCTGCTGCACCAGTTGTGAGATCAATTCCACCGCCGTTGCCAGCGGAACCAGAGCCTCCGACGACTTGAACTTGACCACCGGTTAAACCACCACCAGCTGTCAATGCAAGTTTACCACCAGCTGCAGCTGAGCTTTGTCCAGACGTCACGGCGACATCACCACCTGCCCCAGTATTGCCAGCGCCGACAGATATACTAATCGCGCCGCCTTTGCCACCAGTGGATACTCCAGAGCTGAGCCCGATGGAACCTGAATCGCCTCCAGTAGACACACTAGATTTCACTGATACAGCTCCCGAAGCACCAGCACTTGAACCACCACTTGTAAGGCTCAACACTCCGCCCACGGCAGAGTTTCCACTGGACAGAGTAATGTCGCCTCCAGCTCCGGTAGTTCCGGCACCAACAAACGCTCGGATACTCCCACCAGCACCGGTACTGGCAGCACCAGTCGACAAGACAATCAATCCGCTGGTAGCTGCAACCGCAGCGCTCAATACGACATCTCCGCTAAGGGCTGGACTTGCTCCGACTCCAGATAACAAGACAACGTTTCCACCCGCTCCAGCTGTGCCAGCACCGCCAGTCAACTGGGCAATACCACCCACGGTACCAGTTCCGCCCACCAATGTCGACAGACCACCGGCAGCAACACTACTCGTACCAGCAGTAAGAGTAACTGCGCCACCAGCACCCACCACGCCGCTTCCCACAGTAGCAGAAATACCGCCACCAGTACCACCCGACGTTGAAGATCCACTGTTAATCGACACCGCACCAGCGCTACCACCAGTGGAAGCGCTCGAACCGATGGTGACGGTCCCAGATGCCCCCGCCGTCGAAGTACCACTGGTCAACGAAATGGGGCCGCCAACGACGCCAGCTCCTCCAGTCACTGTCACGGTACCACCAGTGCCCGTGGTCCCGGCACCAACCGACAAGTTGATCGCACCTCCCGGTCCGGCAGTTCCAGCGCCAGTCTTCAACTGAATCAATCCACTCGTGCTGCCGCCCGCAGTGCTGATAGTCACAGTACCGCTCACGGAGGTCGAGGCTCCTGCGCCGGACAAGAGGTTGACATTGCCGCCGAGGGTGGCTGTTCCCGCGCCTCCAGTCAATTCCACATTACCACCAACCAGTCCGGTACCGCCGATGACGGATGCCTTGCCTCCAGTGGCCACGGAACTGGCACCCGCCGTGAATGTGATGGCTCCGCCATTGCTCAAGACACCGTTGCCAACCGTCGCAGTGATATCGCCACCCGTTCCAGCAGTGGTGGATAGACCGGTGGCAAATTGAATCGCACCGGAAGTGCCACCGACGGCGGCAGCTGTAGAAATGATGACAGCACCAGAGGTACCAGCTGTGGACGCTCCGCTAGTCAACGAAATACTCCCACCCGCTACTGCGGCCCCACTGGACAAGGAAATGGCACCACCAGTGCCCGTTGATCCTGTGCCAACGGACAATCGAATAGGTCCACTCGGGCCATTACTGGACGTTCCTGAACTGAGTTGGATGGTTCCACTTGAAACTCCATTAGCAGTACTCACAGATACACCGCCCGTACTTCCAAGAGTTGTACTAGTACCGCTGGTGAGAGCGATATTTCCACCAGCGCCAGTACCTCCACTACCGCCAGAAAGCGCAATGTTCCCTCCAATCGTTTGTCCGGTACCTCCTAAAAGCTCGACGTTGCCGCCCACCGTAGTTCCAGCACCACCCACAACGGAACTTTTTCCGCCCACTTGATCGGCACTAGCTCCAGCAGTCAACGTAATCGCCCCACCAACGCCAGTCGCTCCATTGCCAACTGTTACAGAAATGTCGCCACCAGTACCACCGGTTGCAGCTCCAGACGCGACGGAAATTCCTCCAGAATTACCACCGACGGAGGCACTGGAGGCAATGGAAACAGCGCCTGAAGCTCCGGCAGTCGATCCACCGCTCTTTAATGTCAAGACACCGCCGGCTACACCGTTCCCGCTTGAGGCAAGTAGTGCACCTCCGGTCGACGTAGTTGAAGCACCAACGGAGAATTGAATGACGCCGCCCGGTCCAGTGCTTCCAGTGCCAGACGTGAGAGAGATGGAACCACTGGTGATGCCGCTAGCCGTGGATAACGTGACAGCCCCACTAGGGGTGGTGGCAATTCCCGCCCCACTCTTTATGTTCACGTTGCCGCCAGCACCAGACGACGCGTCGCCGCCACTGACATCCATGCGACCACCGACTGTACCAACTCCTCCGGTGAGAGAAACTTTACCACCCGTCCCTGCTAAGCTGAGACCGGCGATCAGAGTGATGGCACCACCAGTCGTCGTGTCCCCATCGCCCACGGATAAAGTGATAGCCCCGCCTTGGCCACCCGTGGCAACTCCAGTGTTTAGTGATAATGTGCCAGAATTTCCGCCAGCAGAAAGGCTAGATTTGATGGATACACCGCCCGATGTTCCCGCAGTGGAGCTGCCACTGATCACGTTGACAGCACCACCGTTCACTGCATTTCCACTTGAAAGGCTGATATCTCCTCCGGTTCCGGTGGTTCCAGCGCCAACAGACGCATGAATGCTTCCTCCGGCGCCGCCTGTCGCGGTGCCCGAATTCAGCAAAATCATGCCACTTGTACTGTCGGTTGCAGAGCTCAAAACAACATCTCCGCTCACCGCTGGGCCAGTACCAACGCCACTTAGCAGCATGACGTTCCCACCACCACCGGCAGAGCCTGCACCTCCTGTCAACTCGACATTCCCGCCAAGTGTACCGGCTCCGCCGGTGATAAATGTTTTGCCACCAGCAGCGACGCTGCTAGCGCCAGCAGTCAATGAAATGACTCCACCAACGCCTACTATACCGCTTCCCACAGTAGCAGAAATACTGCCACCAGTACCACCCGACGTTGAAGATCCACTGTTAATCGACACCGCACCAGCGCTACCACCAGTGGAAGCGCTCGAACCGATGGTGACGGTCCCAGATGCCCCCGCCGTCGAAGTACCACTGGTCAACGAAATGGGGCCGCCAACGACGCCAGCTCCTCCAGTCACTGTCACGGTACCACCAGTGCCCGTGGTCCCGGCACCAACCGACAAGTTGATCGCACCTCCCGGTCCGGCAGTTCCAGCGCCAGTCTTCAACTGAATCAATCCACTCGTGCTGCCGCCCGCAGTGCTGATAGTCACAGTACCGCTCACGGAGGTCGAGGCTCCTGCGCCGGACAAGAGGTTGACATTGCCGCCGAGGGTGGCTGTTCCCGCGCCTCCAGTCAATTCCACATTACCACCAACCAGTCCGGTACCGCCGATGACGGATGCCTTGCCTCCAGTGGCCACGGAACTGGCACCCGCCGTGAATGTGATGGCTCCACCATTGCCCAAAACACCATTGCCGACTGTAACACTGATTGCACCTCCGGTTCCTCCCGTGGCGGCGGCAGTAGAAATCGATACTGCTCCAGATGTGCCCCCTGCAGAAGTACCGGAACCAATGGAAATAGCTCCAGAAATGCCGCTGCTTGCGGTTCCAGAGGTGATGGACACAGCACCGCCATTGACACCATTGCCACTGTTGACTGTGACAGCACCGCCTGTAGCGCTAGCAGTGCCAACTGACAATACAATCGAACCACTGGGACCGTTGGTTGATATGCCTGAAGAAAGTTGGACAGCACCGCTAGTTGTGCTGGCAGCAGTGCTTAGCACGGCATTTCCACTCGTAAATCCGGTAGCCGCCGCACCGCTAGTGAGAAGTACGTTACCTCCGTTGTTGGTCGATCCAACACCGCCGTTGAGTTCGACGTTGCCGCCGCTTGTGCCCGTGCCACTTGTTGCTGAGACTTTACTGCCAGTCGAGGTGGAACTCAAACCAGACACAAAGGTGATGTCGCCTCCAGCACCGACTCCATTGCCAACCGACACACGAACGCCGCCAGCTGTGCCGCCGGTAGCCGCTCCCCCCGAGATGGTAACTATACCAGAATTACCACCCGCGGCAGCACCACTCGCAATAGAAATCGTGCCAGAATTTCCAGCGGTCGAAACACCACTGGTCAATGCCACTGATCCACCAACAACACCAGATCCACCGCTTAAAGTAATGGCACCGCCAGCTCCGATAGCGCCAACACCCACGAGCAGGTCAATGTTCCCGCCAGGCCCTGCAGTGCCAGATCCAGTGGACAATTGAATCGCGCCACTGGTGGCATCATTAGGGGTGTTTAGGGCAATGGATCCACTCAACGCTGCGGCAACGCCCACACCACTGAGCAAGACAATATTGCCGCCATTGGTCGAAGTAGCCGCACCTGCTGTCAGAGCTACGTTTCCCCCGACGGTACCAGTACCACCAGTGATTGCCACACGACCACCTGATGCGGCGGAGCTTGTTCCAGCCGTAAATGCTACGGCGCCACCAGCACCAAGAACCCCGCTTCCGACGGTACCAGTAATGGCACCACCTGTGCCACCAGTGGCAGCACCTGTGGAGATAGCGATGGCACCAGTGTCGCCTCCAACTGAGCTACCAGATCCAATCGACACAGTGCCAGATACGCCTGCAGTGGATGCGCCGCTAGTGAGGCTGATTGGACCACCCACGACTCCTGCACCACTAGTCGCAGCAACTGACCCACCAGTACCAGTGGACCCACCACCGACCGACAGCTGAATGGAACCTCCAGTCCCTCCGGTTCCAGAGCCAGTCTTCAACTGAACGGCCCCGCTTGTACTTCCAGATGGAGTGGTAATCGTCACGGCGCCAGACGTAGACGAGGCTGCTCCCGCACCACTCAACAGCGCAATGGCACCGCCGGTTGTAGACGAACCAGCGCCTCCAGTCAGCTCAACGTTGCCGCCAACGGTACCGAGGCCGCCAGCCACTGAAGTTTTGCCGCCAGTGCTGGCAGTGCTAGCTCCCGAAGTCAAAGCAATTATACCTCCAACGCCAGCTGCACCGTTGCCAACCGTCAATGCAACTCCACCACCAGTGCCGCCAGTCGCCGCACCAGAGGAAATCGAGATAGCACCGGAATCACCGCCAGTAGATGCTGCAGTGGCAATTGTCGCGGTGCCAGATGCTCCAGCAGTGGATGCTCCACTTGAAATAGCTACTGGGCCTCCCGCGACACCCGCACCGCTCGTTGCAGTGATGGCGCCGCCAGTTCCCATACTTCCGGTGCCCACGGATAGCACAATAGCACCACCAGGGCCGCCAGATCCGGTTCCAGACTTCAACTGAATCGAGCCACTTGTGGTTGCAGGTGCAGAGCTCACAGTAACACTGCCGCTGGTAGAGGCCGCAGCGGCAGCTCCAGTTGTCAACACAACGTTGCCTCCGTTTGTTGATGTTCCTGCACCGCCTGTCAACTCGACATTGCCACCGACCGTGCCCGCGCCACCAACGACGGAGCCCTTGCCTCCCGCTCCAACGGCACTAGCTCCAGCAGTAAACGTCACAGCGCCACCACCACCAAGAACGCCACCTCCGACGGTGCCAGTAATGGCACCACCCGTGCCTCCAGTGGAAGCCCCTGTCGAGATGGTGACACTCCCAGAATTTCCACCTGTGGACGCACTGCTGGCCACAGTGACGCTACCTGATGCACCGGCAGTAGAAGTACCAGAGAACAGGGAAATCGGCCCCCCGACCACCGAGTTTCCACCACGAAGTTTGATTTCTCCTCCAGTTCCAGTGTTGCTCGTCTTGATGGAGACGGTGATGCCACCTGACACCCCACCAGTGGCAGCACCCGCCAAAATCGACACCGAGCCCGATGCGCCTGCTGCCGCCGCTCCGGAGGTCACCACAACGTTGCCCGTGGTGGGGGCGTCGGCACTGGATGCAGTAACATCTCCACTTGCGCCAGTGGCACTCGTGCCACTTGAAAAGGTGACCTTACCACCCACACCAGTGGCGAGGGCGTTTCCAGCTGACACGGCCACGTCACCTCCAGTGCCAGCGCTATTTCCACCGGCTACTGCGACCTTTCCACCGATGGACGTGCCCAGCGAAGTGGCGCCAGCACTCAACTGAACATTGCCGCCAACGTTGCCGTCACCACCGGCGATTGTAACGCCACCAGCTTGGGCCAACGTGCTTTTTCCACCAGACACGGACACATCGCCGGCTTTCGCACCAGTGGTTAGATCCGCCGTTGAGATCGCGACGTCCCCGCCGTTGCCAGTCGTCGCCACGCCTGTCTTCACAGTGACCCCCCCCACATTCGCAGCGGCGGTGCTGCCGCCCGTCCCAATGACGACGCTCCCGCTATTTAAACCAGCCGTGCCAGACCTCAACTCGACGGATCCAGAATGCGCGCTGTTTTGTCCAGACGCGACGGACACGGCTCCAGACGACGAATCAGAATGCGCGCTGATACCTGTGCGGAGCTGCAGGGCGCCGCCTGAAAGTTGTTGGGTGGACGATGTCGAGTCGCCAGTTTGGAGCACAATGGCGCCTCCTTGCTTGCTCAGCTCATCCGTCCCGGCGGCAACGTTCACAAACGAGGCCGCGCGCACCGTGAGCCCGTCAAATTCCGTGGCGATGGTGTTGGCACCTCCAAGAAGGGTGACGCCCGTGGCTGCTACCTGTAAGCGGGCCGTGGGGGTTGTCGATTGTGTGCTGTCGGCGGTGGCAAGGCGAAGGGCCACCGTCTTCGCACTGGTCGGACCGACAAAAACGGCTTCCACGGCTCCGGTGGCGTGCTCTGCCAGGTCGGCCCCGCTGGCCCTCAGGTCAATCGACGCCCCAAGCCCTTCAATGTACAGTGGAACTCCGTTGTAGCTCGGCCCAGCATAGACGCGATCAATGTGGAACGACGTGACGTCAAATGACTTGGTCGGGTGCACGACGTAAGTGGCCCCAGCAATACGAATGTACTGGTTCACAGTGAGCACTCCCGTGAGATCCGTCGACGTGAACACGACGTCGCTGCCTCGGGTCACGCTCACCGTGCCCGGGACTCGGACGGTGGCGGCAGCGTTGGCGCTGGAGAAGTGCTGGATGCGCACACTCGTGTGCGTGCCAATGGTGTCCGTGGTTGCATCCGTCGACTGAAGCGTCGTGCCCAACGCATTCACTTGCACCAGGGGTGTCGTGTCCTCGTACGTGGAAAAGATCGCTTGCTTGACCAGGATGGTTTCAGCCCCGGCAAGGGGATGTTGGATGCCGCGGTCTACAGTGATCGCAGAGGAAGTCACGGCGACCACCGTGCGCAATTCCACTTGGTTGATGAGGATCACGTCGCCAACATGCACGAGCTCGCTATCGGCACGATGAGGATATGGGGGTATATGTCGGTTATGTGTACCTGGCGTCGGAGGACGTGGGGATCGTGGTGGACGAGATGGCGACGCCGCCACTGGCGACGATCGCACCTGCGTGGAACAAGGAGCTCGACGCAATCGATACGGATGCCGACCCAAATGTTGGGTGGCTTTCCACCGTGACGTCGCCCAAGAACCGATTGTCTGGCCATGTGCGTAAGCTTCAAGCACGACAAAATAGCGATCGTCATACCGAGAAGGAAAGGGTCGCTTGGTGGCGTTTGTACAACGGTGAGGCGTCGATGTTTCTCTGCCAATTCGCCATCCACATCCCCGGCAACTTGGGACAAGAGGGGATCGCTTCGAGCTTCATAAATAGCTGTGCCACCTGCAGCACCATATATGATACCATCAGCCTTTTAAAAGCGATAGAGCACATCAACGCACCGAAGTCTTGACCGGTGGTGTCATGTACAAGTTGTAGGAGAGCAACAGTTGCGAGCGTGGCTGTTCGTAACCAGGTGAGACATCATCACAGTGATGGGGACACTGACGCACCTCGAATGAACTTTATCACATGCCGCACCATGGTTGGCGCTATACAAGTCTAGGGAGCCTCTGGTAGCTTTAGTGCGCCGCAGGCCAAGCCGATCAATCGTAGCGTTGGCTGCAAGATCTTTCTGAACGGACACAGCTACGCTGGCGAAAAATCGAACGATTTGTCGAAGCATTTGGGACTTTAAAGGCCAATCAAATTACAATAGCAAAGTCAAGCTCGAGCATGGATTGGTTGATAGCTGGAAATAAGAACCACAACTTGGAGGACTCTAGTAGTACTGTAGTACTGTAGGAGTCGTAGCTCACACATCCGGATAGCAGAAAGCGTATGAAACGTCTGGAAACATAATGATGATGACGATTTGACAACTCGTCCATGAACATGACGTCTCCGCTGCCGGATCCAATTTTGCATTGCTCGATGGCACTAAGAGAATCATGGTACCGACTTTTTGGCGAGAGCTCAATGGCGTGGTGGAAAGTAGCGCAAGACGCATACTGCGAGCCCCACCGCGCCTACCATGCGCTTGAGCACATTGCCTCCATGTACGACGTGTTCCAACTGCACCATGAGACGTTGGCCTTGTCGTCATTAGAAAGTTTGTTTGTGCTGGCTATCGTGTTTCATGATGTTGTGTATGACCCGCTAAACAAGTCCAACGAAGCGGACAGCATTGCATCCTTTCGCTTGTTCATTGATGATGTCCATCCTTCTCTCGGCCCTGCAGACATTTGTTTGGTGGAGTCCATGATTGAAGCCACGATTCGCCATCAACTACCTTCATCGTGCCACTCCGACGAGACCCGGCGCATCGTCGGGTGCTTTCTTGACCTGGACTTGGCCATATTGAGTCGATCGACAGTCCTATACGACGAGTATGCCAAGAACATTCGCTTGGAGTACATTGCCTTTGGTGACGCAGAGTTCCGTCAGGGTCGTGCGGCTGTCCTTCGATCGTTCCTTGATCGAGATCAACTCTACTTCACACCACGTTTCCAAAACGAATGGACCGCGGCCGGCCGTGCCAACTTAGAGAGAGAACTGAAAGCCTTAACGGATTAAATATCATGCTTTGTGGTGCCGTCGAGCCTTTTTTGCCGTAGCTTGTCTCCCAGCGGTTGTGGCAACTTCATCATGTACGGCTCCATTTTGTCCGTGTGGAAGTTTGTGTGCTCCACTTGTTGTTTGGTTTGGCTTTTCTTGGGCGAAGAATGAATTGCTCTTTCATTGCGCTTTAGCAGCAAGCGGTGTTCTGAACAAAATGAAGCTCTGTGTTAACAAGCCAAGAACGCATGCGTCACAATTATCATACCATCAAGGAGGGTGCTATCTTGCAAGATGGAGCTGTCTCGTTCAATGTGGGAATAACGGGGGTGTTCGTCTTCCACGCTCGTTCCAAAGCTCGTTCTCGGCCGCGTCGTTGTCTCTGGCTTCCCTTCCCATACATTGAGCTTCCTACATACAGCACATAATGAGACTTGAACTGGGCCGACTGAACCTACCCGTACGATCCTGGACCGAGAGTGCGGGGGTGATGCACATCGACTTCCTTGATCGATGTGTTGGTGTCCCGTGCCTGAGATAGATGGGAGAACGACATCGCGCCGCGCTCCTGCCACCCTTTCCAGTGGAGGCGACGGTTACACCGCTGGTCATTGGACGTTTCAGTAATACTGGAGTCCAATTTAAACGAAATTCATTTATTTAGTTTGCTGTAGTGTTGGGATCAGAATGCATGTTGCTGCAAACGGGAAATGATGTCTGGGTGGCTGCTCCTGCTAGTCCTCGGGTGGGCCGTCGCGTACTCGGTGATATACACTTCATCACAAGGCAATGCCGCCGCCACAGATAGCAACAGTCTGCACGTACTTCCGGCCTACGTATCCAAGGAATTCACAGGGCTGAATGAGCGGGTGTTCCAGCTTGGTCGTCGGCATCCCATCGCCCTCAAGGCATGGTTTACCGCTGGCAGTGTCGTAGCTGCTGTTCTCATGGTTGGTAGCACCTTGTACCTCATATGGAACGTGATGTTACTCGTCGCACGGCGTGTGGTGCAAGTTGACGTGGAGGCGCCGCTGTCGTCGACGTCTGTGATGATTCCCGGCGTGACCATGCCACTCGACGCCATGTGGTACTTGTGGATTGCCATCTTCCTCGCAGCTTCCTTCGTACGTCATGGACATATCCATGCCATCCTTCCCAACATCAACATTTGATGTGTTAGCATGAGTTTGGCCACGCGCTGGCGGCGGCGCTGTGCGAGATTCGCATGCTGTCGGTGGGGATCTTCTTCGCGGTGGTGTTTCCTGGGGCGTACGTCCGCTTCGACAGCTACTGCAACATTGGTGTGATGGACCAGATCAAGATCCAAAGCGCGGGCATTTGGCACAACGCGGTGCGAAGACTTGACCAATTCGGGTTTTCTTAGCTCAAACTAGGTATTGGCGCTCATCTGCATGCTGCAACTCATGCTGTTGCCGTCTCTGCTGTCCCCGTGGTACGCCACGCACCAAGGTCTGACGGTGACTTCGATGCCAGAGTTTTCCATCTTTGACGGGCTTGTGGACATTGGTAAACACTCACGTCACGACGATGGTTTCCGTACCCGCTCTCATCAATCATCATGCTTCTAGGCAATGTTGTCGTGTCCTTGGACCATGCGCCGACGTTAACTTTAGCCGCGTGGAAGAGCGAGATTGCAACGCTCACGGGGGTCGTGGACCAGCCTTATGCGACATGGAAACCAGTCGGCTACTGCATTCCCAGCCTAGACCTGGCCTCGTCTACTGCTGACACGTCGTGCTGCCACGTGGACAACGACAACACAGACAGCGCCTTGCAATGTTTTGCCCACGGTGGCCAAAGCAACAACGAACTCGACCCATCGAAGAAGCTTGTGTGTCTGGACGGAAATCAGGTCGGCGGCGTCTCCACCGCTCGTTGTTCCTCGGACGATTCGTGTGGTTCGGGAAGCGAGGACAGTAATCAACTGCCGCCGCCGTACACGTGTGTGTTGCCAAAACTGCAAGACGCGGCTACTTTGATCCGCATTGGGCTGCGCGGCAATGTTACCCTGATGGTACATGGCTACCCGCCGGACCTGCACGCGGAACTTCATCTGTCCCCCTACACCACCACACACAAGAGCCCAAGCAGCACTAGCTTGTCAACGACGGTGTGGCTGTCCCTGCCAACGTGGATCGAGCGGTTTTGGCAATTTGTGGGCAATGTGTCGGGGACATTAGGACTGTTCAATGCGCTTCCGATCCATCACTTGGATGGCAGCCACTTGTGTGCCAGCTATTTGCAGCTTGTGGTGGCAGACGAGGCTACCAGAGGCCAAGTTTTAAAGATCGTTCTGACCATCGGAGACGCGCTATTGGTGGCCGTGGGCGTCCTCTCCATGTGGCCGTAGCAGCATGCATAGTATTATTTATATCGTATCAACCATGGTCACACTATTGTGGTTCTTTGTGAAGAAATGGCGCTTTCCCGCCTGTTTTGGCCAACAGCCGCGTTTCTTGAATGACCAGGTCGTGGGATAACGCCTTGCACATGTCATAAACGCACAGCGCAGCGATGGACGCACCCGTAAGCGCTTCCATTTCGACGCCCGTGCGTCCGGTACATTTGACGGCGCAGTGGATGTGCAGCGTGTTGTCGTCCTGGACGTGCAACGTGACTTTGCAGTCGTTCAACGCCAACGGGTGGCAGAAGGGAATGAGGTCGCTCGTCTTCTTCGCACCCATGACACCTGCCAAGATTGCCGTGGTGAGAACAGGACCCTTTTTGCTCATCAGTTCCGCGTCTTGGCGTAGGGACGCAAGGATCCCTGCGGGAAATCGAACGATACTGCGTGCCACTGCTGTCCGGTCTGTGATCGCCTTGTCGGTGACGTCCACCATGGTGGGTTGCTTGTCGCTATTGACATGGGTAAGGCCATGCTTGGCCCGACTCGGGAATCCCGCTGATCGGCCTAAAGGCAGCAAGAAAATGGTCGCGCGAACGAGTGCCATTTGCACTTTGGCTTCTGGAAGGTATTATCCGGATATTATGCGGATATCAGGATGGTTTCGACCAGTCATCAAGCAGGGATTTCAGATTTCAACAATATCATGAGCAGCACAGGAGCCGCCACCACACCATCCCCGACACCGTCGGCTACCAGTGGACCGTTGCCGACCACGTTGCTTGTGATCGGTATGGCAGGAAGTGGGAAGACGACGTTCATGCATCGACTTGCTGCCCATGCTGCGGAGAAGCAAAAGGAAAGCCGACAGTACGTTGTGAATTTGGACCCGGCCGTGAAAACGATTCCGTACGGCGCCCACATTGACATTCGCGACACGGTGGACTACAAGCAAGTGATGTCCGAGTACGGATTGGGTCCCAACGGAGCAATCATGACGTCCCTGAACCTGTTCGCCACGCGATTCGACCAGGTCGTGGAACTCATTCAAAAGCGGGCTGCTACATTGGAGTACGTCCATCATCCCCATGTCCACATCATCTCATATTCTTTGTTAGCCACGTCATCGTCGACACGCCTGGGCAAATTGAAGCGTTCACATGGTCTGCGTCGGGTGCCATCATCACAGAGTCCCTCGCCACGACGTTTCCCACCGTGGTCGTGTACGTCGTCGACACCCCGCGGACGGTCAACCCCAACACGTTCATGTCCAACATGCTGTACGCTTGCAGTATCTTGTACAAGGTGAAACTTCCGTTCATTGTCGTATTCAACAAGACCGACGTGGTGACGCACGACTTTGCCGTGGAATGGATGACCGACTTTGAGGCATTCCAGGCGGCGCTGGACGCATCCCAAGAAGACAGCTATATGAACACGCTGTCACGGTCGCTCAGTCTTGTGCTGGAGGAATTCTACAACAACTTGCGCCATGTGGGGGTGTCGGCGGCGACGGGCGCCGGCATCGACGAGTTTTACAAGGTGGTGGAAGCCGCCACGGCCGAGTACTATGACGAGTACTTGCCGGATCTTGAGTTCCGCATCGAGCAGCAAAAGCAAAAGAAGGACAAGCATCAAGTGACCAACATGTCCAAGGTCCTAGACGACATGCACGTGGCCGACGACAAGGCGACGCCGCCCCCTCCAGCCCCCGCCACGCCCACACACATACAAGGCGAGCGAACGGAATTGTAATATCGTGTTAAATACTAGTACACTGCTTAGTATGTCATAGTTACATGTCGTTGACTACAACTACTACGATTGTTGGACGTGGAAAATGATATTTTCACAGCAACTAACTGTACACAAGAATAACATCCCAGTAGAAAGGATGGCGAAGTATAAATATCAAGGCGATAGCAAAGCCCACAATAGGATAGGAATCCATTCGAAAGGTGTAGCTACTCGTACACCTTTTTGCGCTTGGAGTCGCCACTCAAGTCGATGGTCGCAACTGTACCAGGTCGCTTGGCCGGAATGATCGCGTCTTCCAAGTCGCCAACGATCGCCCAATCCATGTCGTCATCAAATTCGTCCCGTGGGGGTGGTTTCTACATATGAGAATGCAACTGAGGCAAAACATCGTACATGTCGTTCGTTGTACGGATTGATTAAAGTAGGGCGACTTGGCTTTGGATTTCGAGGGTTCTTTCGGGGGTGAATGGTCTTCGTGTTGGTCCAAGTAGCCAGCAGGCAACGGGGTCGGCTCGATTCCGTTCTAACAAGGTAAGTAGTCCAGTGTGTACATGTGTAGTTGACTCCTGTCGTTATTTTTCAGTGTAGTACCTTGGTCAAGTACGACTTGACGACGTCGATGATGGCCTCGCCCCATTTCTTAACGCGCGTTCGACCGACCCCTTCGATGGCCATGAGTTCCGCACATGTCACAGGCACGGCTTCGGAAATCGCTACGATGCCTGACGTGGGTAAAATGTGATACGGCATCACGTCAAAGTTGTCGCAGACACTGGCGCGCCAATCCATGAGCAACTGGTGCAGCGCCTCGACATGATGCATCGACACGCGCGCGCCCATGGGTTTCGGCCGCGTCATGCCAGCAAACATCTCGATCACTTCGTCATCCCCCCCTTGCGTGAGGTGGACTACGGTCGTCGTCGAGTGCGCTTGGTGTTTGGACGTTTTCGCTGGTTTCTTGGACGCCTTGCCGTGCTCCTTTCGTCCAGATAGTGCAAGGGCGGCAGATGGAGGGGCTACGATCAAGGGCTGCCGCTTGGTTTTGCACACCAGAGCGACAGTTTCCCCTTGCACAAGTTTGCGTCCACTGGCGCCGGTGACCAGCACATTGGATGAAAACCCCATCGCATTCTTCTTCTCCTGTATTACGTTCGTTCATGCATGTCATGACGAGAGTTTGCTGAATGGTAGACGTACTAGTTCGTCCAAATACTGGCGCAAGATCATGTTGTAAATGATCCGTTCGACTTCGCTGCGGTCGTACCGCCCTTTGCCCGCTCCAAATTCGTGAAACCCTTCGATGAACGCCCTTCGTTTCTGCTGATCTTTGCTGATAGTACCCATAAACACGGCCGACGCTTGCACGACCGTCAGCGACTCGCCTTCGCTGGCACTTCGTTCCACTAGTATATACCATACCTCCTAAGCCATGGATATTCGTAGGTAGTAAATAACGCGATGTACCAATGCTGTAGATCTTCAAACAGTCGGCGGTCACGTCCTTCTTTTCAAACGCGGCGCCGTTGGACCGAGCTTTGCAGTTGTCGCACGTGTGGTGACAATTGTCGCTCGAGAAATGCTCACCAAAGTACTCGAGCAACGACGTGCGCCGGCACTCGACTTGATTTTCGCAAAACTCGACCATGCGCCGCAGATTCTGAAAATGCACGTTTTGATGCTGTGGGTTATCTCGATCTTGCGCGATCAAGTTGCGTCGACGGGACAAGTCCTTGAACGAGTAATACAACAGGCAAGTGGCATGTTCCCCATCTCGTCCGGCACGGCCAGACTCCTACATATTCCGATTCTGTCAGCATTGGTTTTAATATGACCCCGTACGTACTTGGTAATAATGCGTGACCGATTGAGGTATCGTGTGGTGAATCACATAGCGCACGTCGGGCTTGTTGATGCCCATGCCAAACGCGACGGTGGCCACAATCAGCTTGATGTTCCCTTTGCTCCAGTCGTGGTGCCGCTTGGATCGATCTGCGGGTTCCAACCCGGCGTGGTAAAATGAGATCTTCTTGGCCTTGGCAGTCCCTTCCAAGCCCAACGTTCGAATGATCTTGTCGGCCGTGTTTTCGCAATCTTTCTTAGACAAGCTACGTATATCATCTGTGCAAAGTACTTATGGTGTGAGTGTGTGTACCAATAGATGATGCCAGATTGGTCCATCCGATCCTTCACAAACGACACGAGTTCGTCCATGAACTTGGGGCCCTTTCGGCGCACATCGTACGACAAATTCGGTCTAGTAGATAACATTTGATATTTCCAAGTTTGGCTATATAGTTCGAATGTATAAAGTGTATGTGGTACCGATTGAAGCTCGAACGCGTGACAAACGGCTTGGCGAGGCGCAAGTTTCGCACAATATCAGCTTCAGTTTGATGGTTTGCCGTCGCCGTGAGCGCCATGATAGGAACCTAGACACACGACAATCCACACAAGTATGAGTATATATATATATATGAACATTCGTGTGAAAAAGTAGCCACGAGAGGTGACTCACGTTGGGGTATCGATTCCGCAGGGTGCCCAGATTCATATAGTCTTTTCGAAAGTCATGGCCCCACTGACTGATGCAATGCGCTTCGTCGACTACGAACCGCGCGAGGAGCTTTCGCGCCGCCAGCGACTCAAACAACTTGCCCAGTTGGCCACTGGATGCGATCTTCTCTGGTGTCACGTATAGCATTTTGATGGTAATGTTGTTGGAAAACAGCTGCGAAATGATCGGGCGCTGCACCGTGTCGTAGTCTTGGTCGCCGTTCAAGAGCGCCACGTCCACGTCCAACGCTTGCAATTGCTGGGTTTGGTCTTCAATCAGCGACACCAACGGGGAAATCACAATAGACACGCCGTCGTCGACACACGCCGGGAGTTGGTAGCACAAGCTCTTGCCTCCGCCAGTAGGCATCAGCACAAACACGTCTTTCCCAGCCAGCGCTTCCTAAACATATATATATATATATATCATGGTAACACTCCAACTCGTACTTGGACAATGCGTTCTTGGCCGGGACGATACGAAGAATGGCCAAACACATCGCGCAGAAGAAACTTGGCGCGCTTCATCTTATCCCCCAGTTGCGGTCCCGTGGGCGGCGGGCATTCCATTGAATGGCCAGCATTCCACGTCGATGTGGCGCTAGAGCAGCTTGCGGACGAACTGACGCCGCCGTCGACCCACGAATGAAATCCGCACGATTCGCAGCGGTTGAACACACGGCCAGCGTTCTTGCCGTACGAAACGTTTTGCGTGCTCGTCACTTGGCCACAGGTGCATCGTACTTGGTGGTCATTTTTCAATGATGAATCTGGCGCCGCCGCCACCATGTGAAGGTCCCCTCGAGCTTCGCCAGTCCTGGTCGAGTAACGGGTGGTTGTGATAGGGGGGTTGCTGTCATGAGGTCTGTCGTAACTGGCCGAGTTTGGTTTTGCATGCGACGAAGATTGAGTAACCACTGGCGACGGTACGATGTTTCGAGCTTGTTTGAACAGCAGAGTCTGTTGCGCCAGGGCTTGTTCCAGCCTGGTTTTCTCAGCTTCGAGGGCGTCCGGGACGTCCCCAAAGAGCGATGCGTCATCCACGTCTTCTCGGACTCGGCGCAACTTTCCGCGGATCTCGTTGATGGATTCTTGGATCTGACTTGGACTCAACGTTGGTGCGGCCTGTTCTTGGCTGTTCTTTGCACGAAGTTGGGCGATTTTCGACGACAACTCGCCTTCCAGCCGCTCCTTTTGCTCCTCCAGCTCAGCGGGCACAAATCCTTCCAGTGCCGCGTCATCGCAAGCTTCACGAACATCGCGCAATTTGGATCGAATTCGAGCGATGTTGTCCTCCAGCGATAATGGTGGCGTCGAGTAGTTGGTACTTGTCGAGGTGGATCGCAACGGAGCGGTTGATGGAACTGAAGTCGTCGCGGGCTGTGCTACTTGGCGATTGTACCGTGCAGGCCCAGGGATGGTAGAAGACTCAAGAAAGTGATTGGTTCGGGGATTGACGCTTGGAACTGCCGCGGGCGGGGACGGTGAAATGGAATTTCGGGACAAGTCGACGACTTCGCTGGGTTTCTTGGCTTTTGCGGTGGCCACCATCGCGTCGATGTCCACAGAGCCCAAGATGTCATCGAACTCCTCGGTTAAGTCCTCGTTCTTGTCAGTTGCCTAGCAACTCGTTCATTATGGAATTCACGCAGTTCATTTGACAGCATGTCTCACCGACGGTTGCTGAGAGTTCAGGGAAGTCGAAGGGACAGAGGATGGTTCTGCCTGCGATTGAATTTGGATTCTCTTGTTACGCTCCATAACTCGAGCACCAATGACGTTGAGGTTGATGTTATCTGACACATCCTCCATCGGAATCACAGCACGCGGCGCACAAGGGGTCCGGATCAACGTCCTTAGCAAGCCAAGGGCAGCGCCAGCATTAGGATCTCGAGTGTACGGGTCGGGAATTTCCTTCAACCTATGCGATAGTGAGTTGCGCAAATGAATCGAAATGGGTTGCAACTTGCAAGCCGTACCCGCTACGTCGACCCCGCATCTCCAGATACCCCTCGATGTTCTTCTTGTTCAGGGACTTTTGCAGCATCACCGTCTTGTCCTGTGCTCGGACAACCTCGAGCTGCTGCGCCAGGTTGTTCTCCATGTTTCAAGCTCGGAGCAGTGCGCGATGATGATCGACCTTTCCTTCGCGCGCAGATTTGAAATCACTGACATTCATATTTGATCAGGCCACTTTGGGCAAGTTCTTGCGTGCTTATTGGCTCGAAATGAGGATTATACCTTAAAAGTCCTTGCCCTAATTTCAGAGGTAAACGTCACTGATTGGCTACAATATTCAAATGTGACCAATAATATCTCACGAATCAATTCTCACCCCCCCCAACGTGTAGTTAGTTATGTTTGCATGATGCGTTGATTGCGCTGTTGGAATCGCTCCAGCAATAATAGTACTGTACGATGCACAGTCTTTACGTGTATTTAGATGACACCGCAGTGGCAATACATACTAAGTAGATTGAAAAATTGATATAAAGTTATTGTTCCAGCTATGTCCACTGGCAATTCCACAGAGGTCGCGATGCAGCAGGTGCCACCTTAACCCACTCAACAGGTAAACGGGTAGCACAAGCTTGCGTTTTCAAGCCCCGTCTGTCCCTTTCGAGATTGAAGACAGGGCCGTCATTCATGCGATTCTCAATGGCTCGTTGCCTCGGACCACGGCTACGAACTTATTGCTTGGCCAAGAGTTCGACAATGTCGGCTTCGAAATCGTTCGGGGCCGTCTGGGGGCTGTATCGCTGGTAAGGTTGGCCGTTGCGATCGACGAGGAACTTGGTGAAATTCCACTTGATGAAGTTGCCCAAGAGGCCGCCAAGATGATGCTTCAAGTACTGGAACACGGGGACTGTGCCGCTTCCATTGACGTCGCACTTGGCGAAGAACGGGAACGTGATGCCAAACCCCTTGACGAAATCCATGATTTCTTCGTTCGTGCCGGGTTCTTGGCCTCCGAACTGGTTGCACGGAAAGGCAAGGATTTGGAGGCCCTTGTCACGGTACTTGGTATCAAGTTCGGCGAGTTGAGTGTAGTTGACTTGCGTCAGGCCTCACTGCGAGGCCACGTTTACGACGAGACACACGCGACCGCGGTACTTGGACATGGGCACGATGTTGCCTTCCATGTCGGTTGCAGCCAGGTCGAAGAATGACTTGGCTTTCGTTGGGTCATCGGCGTGGGGGGCTGCTTCAGCGGAGCAGAACGAACGACCAAGCAAGCCCGAGAAGGACCATCCTTTCGACGTTGCACTGCGTGGACTCGCCATGGATAATCTGGAAATGTAATGTGCCATCAAGCCAAAGTTAGTTTTTGATTCGTTGGACTTCCTTTGGCCAGTTGGGACACTTTTGTCAAGTCATCAATCGGAATAGAACGCTTTCTTCGCGACGACAACAATAACATTGCTGATATGATGCACTTTAAATAGAAACTATGTATGTAGTGTTGAAATTCTGATGATATGATGCACTCTAAATATAACCTACTGGTATGTCACAATAAAAGCCTTTGAAATCATATATATATTTGTATATGTACTCAACCCGCCTCATCGTCCCGTTGGTTCAATTCGGAACAAAAAACGGTTCAACCAAGTTTCGCAGCAATTCGAAGGTGAATTAACGTAAAAAACCAAAACACAGTTACCGGTACGAGTAACAGCTGTAAGATAATTTTTTGGAGGCGTCGGAGTAGAATAGTAATGCACATAACATTTGAGTCAGTACGATATTTGAGTTCTGATTCCAAAAGTCAAGGCGCACCGCTTTCCCTAACAAATAATCGAAATAGAAGTTAACACGGTTATCTTCACAGATAAATTTGTGACGTTCTAACTGTAAGCTCGTATTTACGTTTTTTAAAACGTAAATACGAGCTTACAGTAACAAGAGTCAACCTAAATTGGCTATTAAAATAGCCAATTTAGGTTGACTCTTTTTATCTTGAAGTACTACGTACTAGTAGTACTGTAACGGAGGAATAACGTTAGCATTGGAATTCTGTGTTTAGGGTAGCGGTAACAAATGCTACACCGTTTACCGTAATTAGTACGGATTGGAAATTAGTGCGGTCCACACTAATATATGTGATGGCAAATTCTTGATTTGAGTGGTGGAGAAATAGTGCAGATTTCAATTTTCTGAAATGGTAATGGCGTTGGGCACCCTTGAGGCTTTAACGTCACCATCGCCAATCATCGCTGCATTTGCTCGTGCAGCAGCCAGCACAACAGTTCCACGTCGAACAATGGACGTACACGCAGCCGAAGTGGTATTCCACGATGTGGAAGCAGATGACGACCGCCAGGAGGACGTCGAGCAAGACTACCAGGACGAACAGACAAGCAACCAGCGCAAGCGCAAACTCCAACAAGTCGTGCCTGTTGCTAAAAGAGTTGCTGTCATCAATTGGATGATCAAAGATGCAGACGACAATGGGATCGATGGCAACATCATGCGTGTCATTACAGCGTTCCCGGCAAAATTCCGTGGCGAATACAAGGTATGTCCTCAATTATGCTATGCATTTAACAATGCCTTATGCTAGGCAAACCATTCTAAAGCTACGCGCTGGTGGAAAATGCGCGCGGAGGTTGGGAAGTATGCAGCATCGACCCAAAAGTCAATGTCAGCAGTTATTGCGTCCGGGCGGAAAAGGTTGAACGTCAAAGCGGCTCCTGGCAGAGGCCGCCGGCGCGCTGATTGGGTTACGTACGTATACGCTGAATTGCTCTCGGAATTCCATCGGTTAAAGTCTGCTGGAGTCAAGTTCTCCCCTGCTCTCCTTGTTCAGCTGGCACGCATGGTTGTGGACAACGCACCAGTGTACAATTCGACTTTCCAGGATCCATTTGACAACAAGCCAATTGTGGACAAAATTAAGACTCGCTGGATTCAACAATTTATGGTAATATATATTTCGTGTACTAGTACAATTTAAAGCGTTGTAATGATGTTTGATTTTATACAATTGTTTTCCGTTTAAATATCATTTATGAAATAATATTTTTTTAGGATGTTCATGACATTGTTCCTCGCTCCCAAACTGGGAAGCTTTCGCTCAGCCCCGCAAAGAAGGAGCACATTGAAAAAAACCGTCGCGTATCACTTAGGTGAACTACAAAGGGGTTTTGCCTCCGGCGACCTCGATGAGGATCTCCTCTGCAACATGGATGAGACCCATTTTGTCATCAACGAGGACAACGGTCGTACTCTAGGGTTTCGTGGCGATTCCGAAATAAAGTATGCCGATGTAGTGTCTGGTGGTGTCGGCATGACCATGATGGTATTCATTACTGGCTGAACTCGAGCTCGAATTGGTTCACCAATGATGATATTTCAAAACCCACAAAGATCATACCCAATACAAGGGCTTCCTGATAATGTACCTGGAGCATCGTACCGCTCAGGACCAAAAGGATGGAACGATATGAAGGTTAGACATATATTCCAAATTATAAACGAGAAATAACCACTTTAGTTTATAGGTGTTTCCACAATGGTTTGCCGAGCCCCGTGCATACGTCAAGGACAGTGCTGGTCGTAAAACTGTTATGTTTGTCGATAATTGTGGTGGCCACAACGAAAGCCCAGAGCTGCGTGCAATTTTGGATTCAACAAACACGGAGCTTCGTTACTTTCCTGCTTGTGCGACAGACCTTGTTCAGCCTGCCGACTCGTTTGTGATCTCCAAAATCAAAGACGAATGGACTCGCCAATGGGAGGCTGAGAAAATGCGTTTGATCCGTGACGGCGAATGGGCCGACACTGTCCGTTCAGATGGGGCGTGGTCGGGGAAGCTGAAGAACCCTGGGAAGCGATTCTTCTTGGAGCTGGCTTCAAAGACAGTTCGCGCTGTGAATGGTATGCGTGATATTGCTGGCCTTACCTATGCTCGAAAGGCTATGATTCGGTGCGGCATGGCCTTGGACGTTTGCGGTCGGTGGCACGAAGGACAATTGTCAATGGAGCTACAGGAAATTGTCAAAAAGCATCGAGTTCATTTCAATGGTACCGTGGTTGATGTACCAGTTCCAAAGTGAGGTTACTCAGTGTAATAGTTGCCCGCTAATACATGTTTATACTTGCAGTTGACTGTCCGCACTAATTCTCCACATTCAGAAATAGTGCGGTCCTTACTAATTATCCAAGCGCATAATTAGTGCGGATTGGAATATAGTGCGGTCCGCACTAATATATGTGATGGGGGTCCAGCGACCAGGTTGAAAAATAGTGCGGTCCGGACTAATTACGGTAAACGGTGTAACAGTAAATATAATTTACACAAAATTCGGATTTGTAGTGTACTACGTTGTATGTACTTCTGGTGAGGAAATCACCGAGTTTACATGTAAACACTCGACACAACCTCAGATCCAACCCAAAGTGGCCGGTATCGACAAGGGTGCTTCAAACCCAATACCTTCAATGACTATTATCAACGGCTTCTAACGTTATGCTGAATTGGTGTTGGCATTGCTATTAATATTATATGACAGAGGTTTTGGCTGAAACAAGTAACGAGGTGTGATTGGGCATTTGCAGCGCGGATGTCTTGTGATTAGTATTTTTGTCCAGCGACCCATCCACGATGCCATTTATTGACAGACCTTTGATTATGTCGCGTCGTAATCGTACTGTAGTAGGGCATAAAAAGTCGACTGCATAGTACAAGCTCGCTGTGCATTTGGAATTTCTTGTACACCAGTAGTGTACGGTACTGGTAGTACTGGTTTACAGTTAATTTAGTCTTCCATTTCGTCATCAGTGCATGTGGTACACACCCAGCAACGTTGGCCTTGCACCGTCCGTGTATGCATATGGAGGGAACACATCGAGTAGCTGCAGATCGCACACTTGTATCGGACGCGGAAGAGGTTGAAGACTCCGTGGCAGTCCCGGTATGTGCAATACCATTTACTATTGCACGGCCGGGAAACTGTTCGTTCCACATCGCATTCGTCAGCTTCGAGGCAATCGCTTTCATCAACTTCGACTCGACTTGGCTTCATCACGCCTTGTGTAGCCGCCTACACGTACGATCGATGATATGCCGCACTTATAGGTACCCAGTTGGTACTGAGGGTGCGCATCGGTGGTGGTCGACGCAATGCTGTCGGCAGTACATGTACAAGCAGTCGGGGCATTGCTTGATCGCAAGGAACGGCAGCAGCAGCGGGAACTTGACGTTGCAGTGCAAACACACCTTGCCCTCCAACACCAGTCCCACGGCTTCAATGTCTGAGTAGATCCACATGTTGGCCAACTCCACGGGCGATTTCATCTGCAGGGAGCGAGGCATGGCGATCGAGTTGCCTCCGCGGGCGTGGACATCGGCTCCTTGGATGAGCAGCAGGCGCACCAGGTCGGGGTGGTTGCGCACGATGGCAAAGTGAAGCGGACGCAGGTCAAAGTCGTCGCCTGCATTTGGATCGGCCTTGGCCGTCTACAAGGATGACGTCAGGATTACATTTCGATCAGCACGACATGGACAGGTACTTGAATCGCAAACGCAGCCACGTGGACATGGCCATGCCACACGGCATAATGCAAGACCTAAACACGTGTGTGTATGAGAAACTACCAGAGCAAGCATTGACCGTCATAACTAAAAGTACCTCGTTGGCAACAACGACATGGGCTTCGCTGTCGACATGCAACGCTTTCCACGTCTCCCACTGGCGCTGGTTCAACGTGCCCATTTCACAAGCACGGGCGAGAACTGGACCGAGTGTTCGGTGACGAGCATAGGGCCATGCAACCCACGGCTTGGACGACCGCCGCGCCGTCTTGGCCAGGACGCCCCCCGCGGCGGCTTCGGCGTGGGGGGGGATGGCTAATGCATCCAGCACGACTTGATAAGTGTCGGCTTGCTTGACGATGGATTTGAAATGACGCAGCAAGTCTTCAAACTGAAGGTCCATTACTTGGGACTCGACATTCTGCCAACCGTGCACGCACAGTGAAGGAATCGCCACACATGTATTCGAGAGAAGGACATCGTACTTTGAGCAGGGCCAGGCCGACACGGAACATGACGTCTTGGATGCCCACGAGCATCATGTCCAACACTGCTCGCGTCAGATCCAATTTTGACGAGCACGAAAACTACAGCAACGTGACGACAAGCAATGGGTATGAAGTACTACTGAACGCACGATTGTGGTGAACCATTCGACGCCGTACAGGTACACGCTAAAACCACACGACTCGAGGCGATCCGCGAGGTCAGGCAGGTACAGGCTGAATTGCTGTTGGAATTGGCCAAGGTACTCGTTCAGAAACATGGACGAGTCCTTGAAGACCTGCGCAACCATGTCAAGTTTGGCGATAACAAGTGTTGGACTAGTACCTACCTGGCTGAGATGCTTATGCTTCAAGAGATAGAGGAAGACAATGTACGCGTCCTCTTCTGAAAAGCCCTGGACGAGGAAGACGGCCGCGATGAAGTTCATCCCTTGGCAATACCCATCTTCGGCTTCTGAAATCGCATTCAAAACTCTGTGGAGCGCCGGTTGCATGGGCAATGTATCGTAAGGCAGCTCAAAGAGCACAAACGTTCGAGGCACATCTCGCGCGACATGGTCTGTGTACTTGTTGCTTGGCGTGGAAATCTAATGGCCCAGCATGACATTGCCAGGAACGTAAAGGTGGATGATACCTCGTTGTACACGTGCCTGTGTATCCTGACAAAGGTATCTGGAATCGACCATTGGTCGCCATCTACCTTGGTCTCCGTGAGCTTGATGATCTGCCGCCTCTCGTCGTCATCGAGAAAGTTAATCCGCCTGACCACGTTCCGCCAGAACACGCTCCAGTTGCTCATGATGACCTCTCAGCTCAGTCTTTCTCCAGACGGGCCAATCGGAGTGGAAATCCGGTTATTATCCGAATAAAACTATCGAAGTATTGGTCAAATATTGTGCACTGTACTCATACCAGTGTGTGAAATCTTATGTTTGTAAATACTACGTAGTACAGTACTTCACAGTCAGCTCGCTGTACTACATCCCAAAGAAAGCAATACAGTACTAGTGCATGGCATACATGCCACAAATATAGGCAAATGCATGGGGTGTATCGACGCATGGTATAAAATACTATATGTATAACGTTAGTACAGTACTGTACTAGGAGGATTTGGTAGAAATAAGGCCTTGAATACATCTCCTGAATGGGATCTTATTTTCGCCTTGTCAAACAGTCTGAAAAGCCACACTGATTATGAATCTGTATCATACTTCGAAGTACTTTATCCAAGTGTACAGTACTGTAAAACAATTTCTCAAGTTTTCAGAAACTCGCCACATGGACTCGATTGTGTATCGACAATCGAGTCAATTCACACCACTGAGATTGAATATACCATCGAATCTCATATCAATCACTCGAACGATCGAAATGGTCATCAGAGTGTCCAAAAGAACTCAGAATGCGAAATTCCTACGCTAAGGCAAAAGAACGTTAAACGAATCCATGACGCAGCAAAACTACCCGCCGCTCATTCAGCGGGGACACAGCCCCCCACGCATCGTTACGTCTCGACGAATCATTGTGCTATCATGCTTCGCTGTGAGCTTTGGTCTACTATGTGGAGCCGCCGTTTTATGTTCCCGCACCTCCATCGCATCAGCTGCCTTGACATCAACGCTGGTTGCATCAATATCGGGGCCGACTCTCAATGAAGGCGCTTCGGGAAGTGATCTGGGCGACGACGACGATGAATCTTGGGACCATGACGACGGCGACTTGATTGATGGTAAATTGGTCATGTCCGCGGCCTTGGCCAAGGTCGAAAACTGTGTCCCTTTTGACATCACGTCGTCCGTCACCGCCAACGCAACAGCTGGCTCTGTCACGTGGTCGACCCAGCGCATGTACAAGGAAGGCAAGGACGACGACTGGGTCGAGTGCGGGCACGGCCGCGCCGGCTTGGAACTCCGCGCTGTCGACGGATCTGACACATCTGCATCGTACAGTCATTTCCGCTCGATCGTGTTGGACCGCGACGCCGCGACCAATGTCACCATTCACAGTGTGTCGCTATCGAATCTGGACCCTGCTGCCACGTACGAGTATGTCGTGGGGTCGTCTCACCACGGGTACTCCAACCTCCACCGCCTCGGTCACAACATTGAGTACTCGTCCGATGAAGCGTGGCGGTGTCGGCCTGTGCGGGTTCGGTCTGCGTATGGCTCTACGCCGGATGCGTACGCAATTCAGTGGTCTACACCAGCCGACTGCTCGGCGGGTACCCACACGCTGACTTTGGAGGCTGGCAAGATGGCCGCATTTACTGCTTCGTCCATTACCCTCCCCGCCACGAGCTTTGCATTTGGCAGTCGAGCGCAGCATGTAGTCTCGGCCACGAACCTCCGCCCCCACACGTTTTACTCGTACTTTGTCGGCAACGACCAGTACAGTCGGTCGCTAGTGTTTACGTTTCGCACTGCGCCTGGCCCAAGCGATATCGCACCCCTTCGGTTCCTTGTCACGGGGGACATTGGATACCAGAATGCCGCGACGCTACCCATGATGCAGGCCCAGGTCGCGCGAGGCCTCGTGGATGCCGTCATTTCGGTGGGGGATTACGCGTACGACCTGCACATGTCCAAAGGGCAAGTGGGCGATGTGTTCCTCACCGAGCTGGAACCTGTGGCGGCGAACGTGCCGTTCATGGTGGCCATGGGTAACCACGAAGTCAAGCAACACTACAGCCACTACACGAACCGGTTCCAACTCATGCCTGCCAATGCCGGTGTTTTGGTAGACTCTCCTACCATGAAGAACAACTGGTACTACTCGTACAACGTCGGCCTCGTGCACTTTGTCGTGTTGTGCACGGAAATCTACTTCAAACCCAACCCGAAAGACCCCCAGTTTGTAGATAGGCAAGTCCAGTGGCTCCAAGCCGATCTGGCTGCCGCCAATGGTAACCGAACGCTAGCGCCATGGGTGATCGTCATCGGCCACCGCCCGCTCTACTGCACCAGCGACGCCAACTGCGATGCCCCCGCCGCGCTGCTGCGAGACGCGTTTGAAGACCTGTTCTACGACATGGGCGTCGACCTGTACCTTTGTGGCCACCAGCACAACTACGAACGTATGTACGATGTGTACCGAGGGGCAACGATGGCACGGTCCACCAACATGGCGGCGACCACGTACATCTTGACAGGCGCCGCGGGGCAGTCGAAGGTGCTCCCGGTGCGAAAGCCGTTCGGAAGACCACCCGAAGCGTACACGGCGTTCCGGAACACGGTCTTTGGGTTCAGTCGCCTCGTCGTGCACAACTCGTCGCATGTGCAGTGGCAGCAGATTGAGTGCGATCCGCTCAATCCTGCGGCGTACGGGGTCAATGGACAGGCCGTGGACGACGTCTGGCTCGTGCAGACGCGCCATGGCAGCTTCGCATCGTCTTAATACAGTACCGTAATGTGCCAATTAATATTAATGGCGTGTATGTGCCAATTATTGATGTAAAACATTAAGCCAATCACTGATCCCTAAATTGGAAAAGCGCCAATCACAGAACAAACCTCTGAATACCGTATACTAGTGTACAGTATATGTATTGCGACAGGTGATATTCACAACCGGCCGACACTCGTTCTCAAAATTTTGTTAATCCATTGCGTCATACAAATTTGAAGTATATTCAACATATAATATCAGTTATTACAGGAATGTCTATTGATGAATCCGTCGCAATGCATATACACTATACGGTATGTTTACCCGTAGCCATTCAACATCGAAGGTTAAAATATTACGTCAACAATTGCCACCCCACCACTTTACAGCTCAATTGTACGAAACAGTATATTGCATATTGTGGATTGCCCTGAAAATTGTGTACTTCGAAGTACAATTTAGGACACTTGAGGATCAGGAATTATGGCCATTCTCTGAAAAAACAAAGTTGTATTGCTTACAATTGGCAATTCTATGTTAACTAACTTCAGTTTATAGTTGTTAATGCATTGTCTTTGCGGCCATATTAATACTACTGTAGTAGTCCGTGGCCATTATGCGGCAAGCCGCACCTGTTCCACGAATTTGATTGGTCGGGACGATTTGTCGAATTCCACCAATCCCGTCGGCCCAGTTGTGGGCAGCAGCATTCAATAATGGAGCGCTACCAGAAGCTCGAGAAGGTTGGCGAGGGCACGTATGGCGTGGTGTACAAGGCTAAGGACCGCGTCACGGGCGAAGTGATTGCGCTCAAGAAGATTCGTCTGGAAGCCGAAGACGAAGGCATTCCCAGCACGGCCATCCGTGAGATCTCCCTGCTCAAGGAACTCCAGCATTGCAACATTGTGCGGCTGTACAACATCGTGCACACCGAGCGCAAGCTCACGCTTGTGTTTGAGTACCTCGACCAGGACCTCAAGAAGTACTTGGACGTGTGTGAGAAGGGTCTCGAGAAGCCCATTCTCAAATCCTTTCTCTACCAACTGCTCCGCGGCATTGCGTACTGCCACCAACACCGTGTCTTGCATCGGTACACACTACCGCGCTCTCCCTCATGTTGTTCATCGAGTCATTCCCGCGTTGGTATGTAGAGACCTGAAGCCGCAGAATCTCTTGATCAACCGTGAAGGCGAGCTCAAGCTGGCCGACTTTGGCCTGGCCCGCGCGTTCGGCATCCCCGTGCGCAGTTATACCCACGAAGTGGTGACGCTGTGGTATCGGTCCCCTGACGTCCTCATGGGCTCGCGGTACTATCCATTGTCAATTCCATGTTGATGTTGACGATATACCTTAGAAAATACTCGACGCCTGTGGACATTTGGAGCATCGGGTGTATATTTGCAGAAATGGCCAACGGAGGGCCGCTTTTCGCCGGCACGTCCGAGGCGGACCAGCTGGACCGCATCTTTCGCCTCTTGGGCACCCCCACGCTGGACATTTACCCGGGGCTGGTGGACTTGCCAGAATACAAGGTACTACTGTACGTCGTTTATCGATGGAGACGTTGATCAATACATGCGTAGACGGACTTTCCAGTGTACCCGCCGCCGGCGTCGTTGGCGCACCTGGTGCCGACTCTGGACGCCGACGGGTTGGACCTGATGCAGCAGATGCTCCAGTACGACCCCGCCAAGCGCATCACCGCCGCCGATGCGCTCAAGCATCCGTACTTTGACGACTTGCCCCAGTCGTCTTCCCAAGCCTCTTAAGACGTAATGAGTGTGTATGTGTGTCCTTCTATATAGTCAAATCGATTTTGCTTGAACCTTGGCCATCAGAATGGACATGTGTTTCATTGTATTCTGACCATGTAACATATAGCCACTTGTTGTGGCGGTTGGTCAGATACCATAGTATTCGACTCGAATGTGTATCAATAATAGTAATAATTACAAACAAGATTGTATGTTGTTGGTAATACTACTATTCATAGTAGCTTTGAAACAATACTAGTACTACAGTATTAATAGTACACTACATCATTCATATATGTACTACTTACTATTAAGAGTATATATAATATATACGCCCATAGTTGAAAAATAGTCATTTTTGTCCGTCCCTACGTGGATTTGGTGGTTAATTGCACTTTCAACGTGCATAACGTGGTCGTGCTGTCGGTCAAGGTCGCAATCTCCACGGCGGCATCTTGGATGCGCTCGGCGTCCTGCGCTTGGATTTCGACGGGCACGCGGGTCGTGTAGAGTGGGTCGGCTACCTTTGCATCAAGACTCGCCTTGGTCTTTTCCGCCTTGGCCAACCGCTTCATGAGTCGACTGAGCTCTGCGTCCAGGCGTTCCGACGTGTTGGCCGTCGCGCGCAGTGGCATCCACACTACATACACCATCGAAATGTAAAAATTTGATGTCCACAAAGAGAGGGGGTTGTACCTTGACAAGAGGTCGAAATCGACTGAGACAGGTACGTGCCGTCCGACGGCGCCGCCGACACCAAGTGGACGCCACTTCGGCATTGCGTGCGAATGTCCTAGCGTGGTTGTTGCGACCGTTGAATAAAGTCGGGACTAGTATATATCTATTGTGGATGATTCGGTACTGTACAAATTTCCAGACCCCATCGTCGAATAATCGACGCTATGGGCTTATCCAATTTTGAGAGGATTTGATTGGCTTTTACAGAAAGGAAAGTAGTAGATTCAACCAATCACAACTCACGCGTGATTCAATAATATTGATTTGACAAACCATGCGAATAATTTTGCAAGCTTATCGCGAATTCACAATATATTGTAAGTACGCTTCGAAATTGGAGTATCGGGGTGCTCCATCAAATGAGCAGAACCAAAATCGATACACGACCAATCAAAACCCACAACACGAATCAAGTGGCCAATCAAATTATCCACTCTTCGACAAATGCAACTTCCAATTAGTGTGTGACTTAAATTAGTGTAAAACTGGACCATTTTTACATACAAAAGTCAGTACAACGAATCGATCGATACATTTGGCAAAGAATCTGCCCAAAAGTCAACCAAATTTTAGGGAAAAGGCCAATCCGACGCACCGCCATGTTGCGTTCGAGGAGGGCCGTGAGCGTCGGGTCGGTACAGTGCACGGTCAAGTGTCCAGTGTCCATGCTAACTCGTTGCATTAGCCACGAATCCATTCCAGTATATGGAACCTCGTAAGGAATACACACGTGGGCTAGTGAAAAAATACCTGTCGTCATGGTCTGGCACAAGCGTCTTTCGAGTGTGCTTGAGGGATCGCATGGCGTGCATGACGTCCAACACCGCCTGCATGCATGCACGTCAATCCATATTTGTGTAGAGTTCACGGGGAAAAAGCAGTAGAAACACACAAGCAACTCCAAGTGGTGTACTTGTACGCTCGCTAGCATCGGATTCGCATGTTCGGTACCTGCATGCTTTCTTCAGCATCTACATCCCGCCATGTGGCCACGTCTTGCTTGCACGGGAACGCCGCCAGAGTCAGCGAGTCGCCGCCAGTAGTCGTACCATCGGCGGACCACGTCAAACGTTGCCTATTCTCATCGTGACAACCCCATCATAACACACAACGACATCCTCGTCCTCTTTCATCACGACAAGGTATATATATACCACAGCTCTTCCGTCACGAACGGCATGAACGGATGCAAGAGCCGCACGGACGTGTCCAAACACTGTCGCAGAGTGGCTTGCGCGCTTTCCTGTCGACGGGCCGCGTCGCCTCTATCCGCTGCCGCCACCACCAAATCATCACCATCCCCACCACCACCGTCATCATGCTACACCACCTCAACGACAATCAGTTCAATTTGTATGAAAATCGCGTCAAAATTTGAAGTATTTTGGTCGCATTTTCGTTGCGATTTGCGTTTTACGTACGTTGTTCTTGGCAGTGTACAAGACGGGCTTGGAGAATTCAATGTACACGTCGCACAGGTCTTGCAAGAAGAAGCGCTGGGCAGCGCCGGCGCTTTGTGCCAGTCGAAACGACTCAAATCCCTCGTGCGATTTACTCACGGCGTCCGCCTACTCCATGTTATACAATATGAATACAAAACCCAATGTACATCACTGTACCATGCGACTGAGAATCCAGCGCTCGGCAAGCCCCATGTGCGGACGCAGGTCCTCCAACGTAGACCCCCCCCCATGCCGCCCAGAGTGATGAGGAGCTGGCAGCAGCGGCAACGCATACCGAAATGCGTTCCACATTTTATTGCAAAAGTGCCGCGATGCCACCACCCGCTGCAAATCCATGTTGATTTGGCGTCCTATTTTAGAAAATATCAGAAGAAATCGCCTTGAAAAAATATAAATATATTGATTTCCATCGACCTTGCGCCAAGTACGTGGAGAGCGTGAGCCGCAACGCGTCCGTGCCGCAGCTGGGAATCCCAGACGGAAACTCGCGCTTCAAGTCCTTTTCCGCACGCACGAGCTCCTTCGGGTCGAGGTTGCCTTGCTAAAACAGATATAGAAGAATATGATATTTGTCATCGCTGCAAATATATATATATATATTTGTACGTGGAGGCCTTGGACGAGGGTTGGGAGGTCGATGCCGGCAATCACGTGCAGTGGATCGATGACATTGCCGAGACTCTTCGACATCTTTCGACCGCTTTTGTCACGCACCATGGGATGCAACCATACTTTATCAAACGGCTGGCGTCCACTCAACTACTCACAGCAGACAACCCTGTTCATCAGTACAATACACTAGTCAACCTCAATATCAAGATAGAGATGGCCTACCGCCGTACACAGCATACTCATGCGCGCGACCCAGAAGAACAAGATGTCGGCTCCAGTCTCCATGACGCTCAACGGGTACACGTGTTGGATAGTTTCAGGAACAGTGTCATCGGTCGGCCATTCCTGTCCATATATTCATTTCCATAAACGTGAGCCTTCAGGGATTCGGAAGAAGAATGAGCACCCACCAGCGCCGACAGCGGCAGCAACGCCGAGCTGAACCACGTGTCCAGCACGTCTTGGTCTTGTTCCAGCGTCAGCAGCGGATGGTCGCCGTACGTTTCCAAGGCCAACTGCCGGGCTTCGACTTCGTTGCGAGCTACGACCCACCGCTCGTTCTCCAAGTTATCGTCATTGTCGTCAGAGGCTTGGTGGCCAGCCAAATGCACGCGGTAGGCGGGGATGCGGTGGCCCCACCACAACTGCCGAGACACACACCAGTCCTGGATATTGTCCAAGTAGTGGAACCACGTGTGGTGGTGCGTCGCTGGTTCTAACGCCAAGGCATTGCTTCGAACGGCCTAAGGGTATATATATAGGTAAATACACACCCTATAGGTTGATATATATAGCTAGTTACCTGTGCGGACGCCGCGGCCATGCCGTCGCACTGGACAAACCACTGGGGCATTAAATATGGCTCGACGACGTTCCCTGACCGCGAACAGATGGACACGGACGTCGGATGGTCCAGCTACACATAACGACCAAACCGAGTTATGGCCAAATTAAACGAATATACAAAACATTAAAATATATTATCAAAGAAATGCTAGGACGACTTAACCATGTCGAGATGGTGTTGTTTTAGGTGGGTTCACCTTGCGATATATATATATATATATCAGTATGCTTGCATATCATATTTGAAGACAGTTGGTACCTTTTCCACGTACAGATCGAGCTCTTGCAGTTTGGCGACCATCGCGGCGCGAGCGTCAAACCGATCCAGGCCGTGGAAGGCGGGAACGTTGGGCGTGACCATCTTGGCTAGTTTGTCCATGACGACGACGTGGGGGAGGTTGTGACGCTGCGCACACGCCCAGTCGTTGGCGTCGTGCGCCGGTGTGAGCTTGACGACGCCAGTGCCGAGGGTTGGATCGACCAATTGCGCGTCCAGAACGATGGGCAGCCGCTCGTTTGTGAACGGGTGGACGACATGCTGGCCGTGCAAATGCAAGTACCGCGCGTCATCTGGGTGGATGGCGAGGGCCACGTCCCCCAGAATTGTTTCCGGTCGCGTCGTGTCGACGTGGACAAACTCAGTGTCAGCAACGACCGAGTCGGATCGATCCACCTAAGAACGATGGACGCAATGAAAAAAGGGTTTGATTGGCCAAGATTGTTGTGTTGGAGTTTGTACTTTGTACTTGAACCGATGCATGACACCAAATTCCACTGGCGTGGCGTGGCCAGGAAGCGGCAGCATTGTGCGTTTGGTCAGTGGCACGGCGTCGACTTCAATGTCCGAGATGGCCGTTTGCAGTGTCGGGCACCTATATATATCTTTAGAAGGGCGAAGATGTTGATGGGATGTGAAGAGTCCAACCAGTTGACCATACGCCGATGCCGATACACCAGCCCTTTTGCATGCAGGCGGCAGAATGCATCCACCACGGCCTTCGACCTAATGACAATGACATGATGACACTAGGATGGAGACTTTGTGATGGACTACCGTGCGTCGTCGAGCGTGAAAAACGTGTGGTCCTTGTTCAAGAGAGCGCCCAGTCGCTCCAATTGGTTCAGAATGCGACTACCGTAGGTAGCGTTCCAACCATGCACGTGGTCTACTCAATCCCGCCATTGGGAATGATCGTATCGAGTTCGATGTGAATAATGTACCTAGAAATGCACTGCGGCCGACATCGTGTCGCGTGAGCTTGTGTTCCTTCCACAGCTGCTTCTCCACGACGCTTTGCGTGGCGATGCCGGCGTGGTCCAGGCCTGGGATCCACAGCACTTCATGACCACACATACGATGATACCGAGCTAGCGCATCTTGGATCGTCACGGTCAGCGCATGGCCTATATGCAGAGCGCCGGTGATGTTGGGCGGTGGCAGAAGCATCGTGAAGCGCGGGGCGTCGGGGTTGGCTTTCTTGGCGTCGACGAGTTTGCTTTCCCAAAACGCCTGCCATCCGTCCTCGACAGCAAGTGGATCGTACGTGGAGGACATGGGATCAACATGCACCCGCTGCTTGATGTGGTCGGGCAGGGAAGTCAAACTTCGGGACACCCGCACGAACGGACGGCCCTTGGACGCTTGCCATGCTCGCATCAACATGTTAGCCAAGCAATCGGATGAGCGAATAATCGTGCGATGCCATTGGACCAGGATTAGCCAATCAATCGACAGGATTGTCGGCTAGGTATAAAGGTCGTCGTCGGAAGGATCGAAGTAGGGCACCGCCGTGTGTGGCTTCATGCTGTATAGTACCTGTGGTGTAAGACCGAACAACACATTGTTGAGCGTACGCTCAGCTGATTGCGATTTGCTTCGTCAACTTGCCGCGGATCAGTAGTTATCATGCCAGCATGGCATTGTGCGTGGCGTTTCAGAGCCGTTTCACGCAAGATCGACGGCCTCAAGAAGTCAACGCCAGCACGATGGAACCGGAACAACACGGTGGGTTCAACGTGATAGCAGCCCCTGACAAGAAGACCCGGGAGCACCAAGCCATGGAGTTGTACCAAAAGGCACGTAACCTCCCTTCGTATGTATCTCGTGTCATGCGCATGAGTTAGGGCATCGAAATGGCCCATGGGGCCACTTGCACCGACGACCACGTCCGCGCGATCGAATTCTTCAGCATGGCGATGTCTATACGACCCAACCACGCCCGCTACTTTCTCGCTCGGTACTACTACAGTACTATTGTCAAAAGTTGAGCAAAACCACTTCTCTATCTAGCGGCAACAGTTTGCGGGCGATCAACGAGCACGAAAGCGCCATCCACGATTTCGACATGGCCATTGACCTTGACAGCACTTGCGCATCGTACTATGCTACTCGCGGCACGTGCCATCGCAAGGTACCATGTACTTATGAAAAGTAGGTTACCAACCAGAACGTAGCTGGGGATGCCTGCAGACGCCCTGGTGGATTTTACGCTTGCCATTGAATTGGACGTGAAAAAGGTATGATTTAAGTAGATCTGTGGATGGTTCGATGTTAACCTACTAGTTGTACACAGGGCAGCCATTACTTTAATCGAGCGCTTGTGCTCTACGACGCTGGGTATTATGCGGATGCGATCGTGGATTTCACCAAATCCCTCGAAGATGCGTCATCCACAAGTACAGGTACCGCCGCGGCGGGTCGAATTGAGTTCCGCGCTTTACATAGCCGCAGCAACTGCCACCGCCGCATGGGAAACCTCCGTACGTTGGCTACAGCTTGGCTTCATATACTGTATACGTGGGATGAAACAAATGATATGGACCGAATCGACAGCTAAATATGATATGGACCGGATCAATAGAATCATGTGTGGACGATATGCTCCAAGCGATCCAGTTGGAGCCACGCAATCCCGTGGGCTACAATGCATTGGCACAATGTTACATGGAGGTAATACAAGATGACTCAAATATATACATATTTAAAGATATAATGTGGACATCAGTTTGGAGACATTGACAGCGCCATCAAGCAGTTCACAGCCGCCGTGAACCTCCAAGATACCATCCCCGCGTACTTGAACAACCGTGGCCAAGCTCTCTTCCGCAAGGTTTGATTGTAACTAGCTACTAACGAACTCCTGATCATCGTGTTCTTAGGGCCACGAGTCGTTTCGAGCAGCGCTGATCGACTTCAACGCGGCCGTAAAGCTGGACGGGAAGGACGCCCAGGCGTACTATAACCGGGGCCTCGCTCGGTTGGCGATTGCTTTTCTGGACATTGAGAAGCGCGACGACGTGGAATTCGCCGCCGCCGCCAAGGAACTCGCGGTGGACGTGGGCGATTCCGACGACGAAGCCAAACCCACGTCTCCGAGTTCACGGTACGTACAGTACCTCGTTCAAATAACCTTGTTCGGGTCCATACTAGTAGTCATGTGTTAGGGCGTTCAAGGCGGCTCCGTCAAAGCCACCAACACTCGTATCCCAACCAATCCCACCGTCCAAGGACAAATCGGATGGCGGAGACGACCACGAGTACAACGCAGACAATTCGTCCACGACCACCGGCATCATGAGCATCGACGAGCAGCTGGACGCCGCCATCGCCGACTTGGACATGGCGTGCTCCCTCGAGCCTGCCAACACACGATATCTGTACGGCAAAGCCATGGTCGTGCACCTGACCCACCGCCACGACGAGCAGGACGGAGCCACCGACACCCTCGCGGTGCTGCAGGCCGCGCTAGACGTGGACCCGCACCATGTATAAAACCTATATATATATATATTGAAGAGGACGTGCTGGATGCATAGGTCGCCTCGCGGTATCATCGTGGGTTGCTGTATCATCAGCAAAAGGACTACGAACGAGCCATCGAAGAACTCACGGCGGTGATCGCGCAAGTCCCCAATGAATCGCGGTTCCTGGAAGCCCGGGGTTTGGTGTTTCAGGACATTCACCTCCACGATTTGGCTATTGAGGTGTGCACCTTTAACGTTCATTTTGAATCGACAAATGTTTGAAGCATCGTCGCGAAGGACTTTACACGGGCGCTGGCAGCCCATCCGTCGCCGCCCCCGCCATACTATCTGTACCATCGAGGTGAAAGCCTCCTCCGGCTGAACCAGTTCCAACAGGCCGTGGACGACTTGACTGCCGCCATGGCTCTTGGCGGGGAGACTGCCGCCGTCCTGAACGCAAGAGGCCTTGCCCACAAGGCACTCGGTATGTACGATGCCGCCATTGCCGACTTTACGGTAAAGTGAATATTCACTGTACCGACGGACTAACACGTCTGTAGCATTGCATTGACGTGAACAAACGCACGGCTGTGTTTCGACTGCATCGCGCGCAGTGCTACATGGACACAACCCAGTTTGAGGCCGCTCATGGCGATTTGAAGGTGGCCCTTCGACTGGCCCCCAATGACCCCAGGTACAGTAAGTACATGGTCTAACTAGTAGTAAGTATACTACGTAGTAAGAGGCAACAACGTGTAACGGTAGTTAACGTTGTGGGAGTAGATTGCTGTACTTTGCAGGGCTGGCACTGTTTCAACTGAAATCGTACCACGAGTCGTTGGCAAAGTTGACGTTGGCTCTGAAATATACTCCTCCAGAGTCGTACCTGTGTGACCTGTACGTACTAGTATGTTGATTCATATAGTAGAATTCAAATCAATATGTAGGTACTATCATATTGGATTGGGTCACGCGAATGTGAATGCGCACATGCTCGCCGTGGAAGCCTTCACGTGGGCAATTGATCGGGTACGCCTTGCAACAAGAATTAGAGTCTCGAGTGACTTGGATTACGGTCGATAGACTACACAGCGGCAAGACAAAATCAAATACTTGCACGAACGAGCCAAAGCCCTTCAAATGGAAGCGTACTACAACGAGGTACGCCAGTTGACTCGTTTGGGATAACCTCGGCATACATTGATATATGGGCTACAGGCAATTGCCGACTTTACCCAAGTTATATTGCACAACCCGACCAACGCCCACGCGCATTTCCGGCGCGCGTTCGCGTACAAAGGCGTGGGGCTCCTCCAGGAATCCGCCGCGGACATTGAAACCGCCAAGTTGCTAGACCCGACGAACCCTCGACTCATGGTCAACTACAAGACCCTCCACGACACTGAATGCATCATCCTTTGCGCTCCAGGGCACGAAGTCGAGTACTAACGCTGCCACGTCATGTCGTTCGTCCAGTTCGAAAGGGCGTGAGCCAATCACCGGCCGCGCAGCTTGGTCCGGATGGGGCAAAGCATCGTACAGCCAATCAGATTCGTACTCATAAAATAGAAAGGAGAGGCCGGATATTTATCCGGTCAACGTAAAAATCTAGAAGGACGGACCGTTGAGAGATCGGGCAGTTAGAGCGTCGGGATTGGCTGTTTGGAAAATGGGGGCGTATGATTGGCTGAAACGTCGAAGCTTCTCGAAACCAGACAGGCCGTCTAGCGACGCAATGGATGGAAGCTCACTTTTCAATTTTGTTCAGAAGGCACAACCAGCAGCATCATGTCGACCACCGAAGGCGCCGAAACGTTTGCGTTTTCCGCCGACATCAGCCAGTTGTTGAGCTTGATCATCAACACGTTTTACTCGAACAAGGACATCTTCTTGCGCGAGTTGATCTCGAACGCGTCCGATGCGTTGGACAAGATCCGGTACCAGTCGTTGACCGACGCGTCCGTGTTGGACAGCGACAAGGACTTGGAAATCAAGATCATCCCTGACAAGGCCAACGGCACGTTGACCCTCCAAGATTCGGGCATTGGTATGACCAAGACCGACTTGGTGAACAACTTGGGTACGATCGCCAAGTCTGGCACGAAGGCGTTCATGGAAGCGTTGGCCGCCGGTGCCGACATTTCCATGATTGGTCAATTCGGTGTGGGTTTCTACTCTGCGTACTTGGTTGCCGACCGTGTGACGGTGCACTCGAAGCACAACGACGACGAACAACACGTGTGGGAATCCGCTGCCGGCGGTTCGTTCACTGTGTCTGCCGACTCGTCCGAGCCCATCAAGCGCGGTACCCGCATCGTGTTGAAGTTGAAGGAAGACATGTTGGAGTACTTGGAAGAACGCAAGTTGAAGGACTTGGTGAAGAAGCACTCTGAGTTCATCTCGTTCCCCATCAAGTTGTACGTGGAGAAGACGACCGAGAAGGAAGTCACGGACGACGAAGACGAAGAAGAGGAAGAGAAGGAGGGCGAAGACGACAAGCCTAAGGTGGAAGAAATCACGGAAGGTGATGACGACAAGAAGAAGAAGACGAAGAAGATCAAGGAAGTGTCGCACGACTGGAACCACTTGAACGGCCAACGCCCTATCTGGATGCGCAAGCCCGAAGACGTGACCCACGAGGAGTACGCGGCGTTCTACAAGTCGTTGACGAACGACTGGGAAGAGCATGCTGCCGTGAAGCACTTTGAAGTGGAAGGCCAACTGGAGTTCAAGGCGTGTTTGTTCGTGCCCAAGCGCGCGCCTTTCGACATGTTCGAAGGCGGTGCCAAGAAGAAGGTGAACAACATCAAGCTGTATGTGCGCCGCGTGTTCATCATGGACAACTGCGAGGAGTTGATGCCTGAATACTTGAGCTTCGTCAAGGGCGTGGTCGACTCGGAAGACTTGCCGTTGAACATTTCGCGCGAAACGTTGCAGCAAAACAAGATCTTGCGCGTGATCAAGAAGAACTTGGTGAAGAAGTGCTTGGACATGTTCAACGAGTTGGTGGAAGACGCCGAGAAGTACAAGAAGTTCTACGAAGCGTTCTCGAAGAACTTGAAGTTGGGGATCCACGAAGACACGACCAACCGCACCAAGATCGCCAAGCTCTTGCGCTACCACTCGACCAAGTCTGGCGAAGACTTGACGTCGTTCGACGACTACATCTCGCGCATGCCCGAGTCGCAACCCGGTATCTACTACGTGACGGGCGAGTCGAAGAAGGCGGTGGAGAACTCTCCGTTCATTGAGAAGTTGAAGAAGAAGGGTTACGAAGTGTTGTTCATGGTGGACCCCATCGACGAATACGCTGTCCAGCAGTTGAAGGACTACGAGGGCAAGAAGTTGATCTGCGCCACGAAGGAAGGCATGGACTTGAAGGAAACGGACGACGAGAAGAAGACGTTCGAAGAAGCCAAGGCCGCGACGGAAGGCCTGTGCAAGTTGATGAAGGAAGTGTTGGACGACAAGGTGGAGAAGGTGCAAATCTCGAGCCGCATCGTCGAATCTCCGTGCGTGTTGGTGACTGGCGAGTACGGCTGGTCGGCCAACATGGAGCGCATCATGAAGGCGCAAGCGCTGCGCGACAGCAGCACGTCGTCGTACATGAGCTCGAAGAAGACGATGGAGATCAACCCGTTGCACCCGATCATCAAGTCTCTGCGCGAAAAGTCGGACGTGGATAAGAGCGACAAGACGGTCAAGGACTTGATCTGGTTGTTGTACGACACGTCGTTGTTGACGTCTGGCTTCTCGTTGGACGAACCCACGACGTTTGCCGGCCGCATCCATCGCTTGATCAAGTTGGGGTTGAGCATCGACGACGATGACATTGCCGAAGAAAACTTGGACGACTTGCCTCCTCTTGAAGGCGACGAAGGCTTGGAGGAATCCACCATGGAAGAAGTCGATTAAATAATTGAATGAACTCTCGTATCTATAGCACTTTGGACAGTCTGTAGTATTAATACTTCGTAAGTTTACTGGCGGATAAGCCAAAATAGGATCACAAGTACTAGTACTCATAGTCGTTCGAAATTCTCTGTACTGAATTATTAATTAGTGCTACTACAGTATTATACTTCGAAGTAGCACATTTTATATTAACGTTACAGAGGTAGTATTCGGCAGCGTTGAATCACGAGGACCGATGATACTGATAAGTCGTTGATTGAAAATCCTACATAACGTTAAGCCAAATCACTGTGTCTTTCGCACCGTTGGGGGATTTCGTACAGGCCCAAACTCACTTTCTGTCGTTGTTTTTCCTGTTTGGGGAAGTCCATGCCAAAATATATCATGGCGAATACGCGTTTCCGAGATGACGTTTCTATAAGTGGAGGCCTTCCAAAACCTGGACAAGTCAACTTGCGAAGTGTCGGCAGTAGCACCTGCTTCTTGTCGTCTAAAATCGCCAGCGACGTCATGTATGCGTATACGCCTTGTCGACCAACATCAAAGCCCCCTTGCGGCCTCATTCCAATACTAGTATATCAGCCTAACTCTCCGAGCTCACCATCATACATTTCGCAGGAGCACGCCCAAAGCACACCCTTGTGGTTCGTCACTCCACTCCGGTGTGTACTGGTAGGTCCTCGACGGGAGAACTTTACCCATGTGAAGCACGGCTGTGGTAAGTCATTTCCATATCGAGGGTAGCGGCACACAGAACGCATCGAACGCTGTACACATGCCCCTCCCGCGCGACCTCCTACTTGTACTGAACCCTAGGCTCTGTGTATTGTAAATGATTTCAGGTTAGCTAGGCGTTGATCTTATGGGTTGCGCATGCCTAGAGTTAGTAGTGATGACTGCACGACTCCTTCGGGAAGGAGAAGATCACACCGACGCACAACGTTGAAACACATAGCATTGTCGGTCGGTTTGACCTTTACCGGTGCGCCATTAGCGTGGCAGTCTATATTTCCAAGCCGCCGACTTACGACTGACTTGCGTAGATACATAGTTTCTCATGCGCTATATCTACTCTACGTCGTTTCGCCACTCGCCGCCTGAACTACTAGTATGTATGATGGTGAGCTCGGAGAGTTAGGCTGATATACTAGTATTGGAATGAGGCCGCAAGGGGGCTTTGATGTTGGTCGACAAGGCGTATACGCATACATGACGTCGCTGGCGATTTTAGACGACAAGAAGCAGGTGCTACTGCCGACACTTCGCAAGTTGACTTGTCCAGGTTTTGGAAGGCCTCCACTTATAGAAACGTCATCTCGGAAACGCGTATTCGCCATGATATATTTTGGCATGGACTTCCCCAAACAGGAAAAACAACGACAGAAAGTGAGTTTGGGCCTGTACGAAATCCCCCAACGGTGCGAAAGACACAGTGATTTGGCTTAACGTTATGTAGGATTTTCAATCAACGACTTATCAGTATCATCGGTCCTCGTGATTCAACGCTGCCGAATACTACCTCTGTAACGTTAATATAAAATGTGCTACTTCGAAGTATAATACTGTAGTAGCACTAATTAATAATTCAGTACAGAGAATTTCGAACGACTATGAGTACTAGTACTTGTGATCCTATTTTGGCTTATCCGCCAGTAAACTTACGAAGTATTAATACTACAGACTGTCCAAAGTGCTATAGATACGAGAGTTCATTCAATTATTTAATCGACTTCTTCCATGGTGGATTCCTCCAAGCCTTCGTCGCCTTCAAGAGGAGGCAAGTCGTCCAAGTTTTCTTCGGCAATGTCATCGTCGTCGATGCTCAACCCCAACTTGATCAAGCGATGGATGCGGCCGGCAAACGTCGTGGGTTCGTCCAACGAGAAGCCAGACGTCAACAACGACGTGTCGTACAACAACCAGATCAAGTCCTTGACCGTCTTGTCGCTCTTATCCACGTCCGACTTTTCGCGCAGAGACTTGATGATCGGGTGCAACGGGTTGATCTCCATCGTCTTCTTCGAGCTCATGTACGACGACGTGCTGCTGTCGCGCAGCGCTTGCGCCTTCATGATGCGCTCCATGTTGGCCGACCAGCCGTACTCGCCAGTCACCAACACGCACGGAGATTCGACGATGCGGCTCGAGATTTGCACCTTCTCCACCTTGTCGTCCAACACTTCCTTCATCAACTTGCACAGGCCTTCCGTCGCGGCCTTGGCTTCTTCGAACGTCTTCTTCTCGTCGTCCGTTTCCTTCAAGTCCATGCCTTCCTTCGTGGCGCAGATCAACTTCTTGCCCTCGTAGTCCTTCAACTGCTGGACAGCGTATTCGTCGATGGGGTCCACCATGAACAACACTTCGTAACCCTTCTTCTTCAACTTCTCAATGAACGGAGAGTTCTCCACCGCCTTCTTCGACTCGCCCGTCACGTAGTAGATACCGGGTTGCGACTCGGGCATGCGCGAGATGTAGTCGTCGAACGACGTCAAGTCTTCGCCAGACTTGGTCGAGTGGTAGCGCAAGAGCTTGGCGATCTTGGTGCGGTTGGTCGTGTCTTCGTGGATCCCCAACTTCAAGTTCTTCGAGAACGCTTCGTAGAACTTCTTGTACTTCTCGGCGTCTTCCACCAACTCGTTGAACATGTCCAAGCACTTCTTCACCAAGTTCTT